GGAGGACAGGTTTCCCAGCCCTTGCTTAGGACTTGAACTATCTGGCGATAATAATCCACTGCGATGGGTTGCGGGGCCGTCAGCTCGGCCAGGGTCCAGAGCTGTCGTATCACAGTGGGATGCTCCCCGCCGAACCGCTTAGTATAATCATCCAGCATATCCTGGTGGATGTTCACGACTTTTCCGGTCTGGGAAGTACGCTCGTATAGACGAAGAAGATTCAATGTGGCTCGCTCCACAGTTTGCTCGCCGCACACTGGCCGATCGCGTCGGACTGCACTATAAAGCCGGGTCCGGATATCCTCTTCCTTGACCGGGTGACGGCGGTAGCGGTAGCACCCGGCGAGGCGCTCTGCAAAATCAACGCAGTGCTCAACATTAGTTGATGGCAGGACGACCTTTTCGATCGAAGCCGCAAACAACGACGGCCACATATCTCGAAGGACTCGTTTCAACACCCTTGTAGCATCATGCCACCGGTGTTGAGACAAGTACATTTCGATTAGCGCTGTGCTCGCTGTTGCGAAATTTTGCTCGTCACTGGATGAACTAGTATAAACCATTTCTTTCAGGGTTGACTCGGTCAGCAGGGATTTTGCAGATGACGAGTGCATCAGTTGCCGGGAAGTGGACTGGATATTTCTTTCCACTTCTTTGCGGGTGGCACTCTGGCTGCTAGTACTTTGTGCGCAGTATTTGAACACTTCCAAGGCCAACACAGACAGTCCCACTTCCTTCATGCACTGAGCAAGCTCAAGCAACTCGGACACCACGGCTTCGGCACTGGAGGTGGTTTTCTCATACTCCTCCCAAACCCCGCCAAGGATCGAGGCCGCTTCGTTATCTCTCTTCCGACTTTTGAGGAATTTGGAATACTCGAGGACAGTCCGCAGAACTGACACCTTGTGCTCAGTGGAGTGACTGAGCCGGTATGCCTGGCTGGTTTGCTGCCATAGCTCAACGTATGTCCGTTCGGCGTCCGAGAAGTGACCCTCTGCCCTCTGTCGCTCCGCTTTCGTCAGGATGGTCTTCAAATCAAATGAATTTGTAATCAACTCGTCCACCTCTATTCCAGTCAAATCCAGGGGGGTGCTTGTCTCTGGCATCGTGTGTTTGGGGCCGTGGAGGTGGACTAGTAATGACTCGTCCATCTGCACAGATCCGCTCCGCTGGTGCGTACTGTTGACGAAGGACCTCTCCAAATTTTCATTAATCTCCTGTACTTTGCGGTACTCCTTGACCAGACTATAATGCTCGGACAGCTGCGTCAACGTGGATTTGACCACACTACTTGTCGCACCGTGGTGGACCTTCTGGCATTCAACCAGCATCTGGAGAATCTGGATGCGCCGTGTCATGACTTCCGTGACAGAGTCAGTCATTTTATCCACGGTGGCATCCAGGAAGAACTGAGCCGTCTGCATAGTGATGAGATTCCGTACAGACAAGACCTTCTGGCAGATTGTTGCCGCCTCATAGAAGATCCGACTACTCTCGGCAGGCACGCTGTTGCTAATCTGTCGGAAAAATAGCGCCTGGCAGATTACGGCCTGTACAGTGGCTGGATGGTTGTTGCTCAATATTTGGCGGTACAGGGATGTCTGAACCTCATGAATGGACCGAAGCAACGAAGTCGCCTTGCTTGCCCACAAAGTCATCTCCAGGAGTGGCACAGAGGGGGTCGCAGGGAGAACAGATCGGAAACTCTTGCTTGCGATATTGATTTCTTGGTTGTTCGTGCATTTGAATGCAATCTTCGCATAGCCTGTCCAGTAACGAAGCGCAAAATCCAATAAGGGATGTTTCCTCAACAAGTCTTCCGTCACCTGCCCATTCAGCGGCTCCAAGGATGGCCCATGGCTATCAGTCACAGTCTGCTTTGCGTACAGTAGGAGTCTCTGTGCAAAATCCACATGCCTGTCCTTGATCGCGGGTAGAAATTTGCCCTTCGAGAATACATCGAGGATAGCGGTCCGCACCAGTGCGTGCCTAAGATAGACAAGGTTTTTGTGGAAGAAAACCAAGGAAGCGACCGGCTTCAATAGCTGAGGGAAGTCAATTTCGCGATGCTCGGCGAGGGCCGCCTCGTCAGGCTTGGTGGAGAGAAGAGCAGCCAGTTCCTGCTGGGCGAGGGGACGGTTCGCAGTGACTAGCCAGACCAAAATCTTCTTCGTATCCTCGCTTAGCTTGGACTGTAAGGTGTGGGATATCAGATCCGAGATCTTATGTCCTGCCTGGACGATATTTTCCACCGACTTGGAAAGCGCGGCCTCGTTCGGCGGGTTCTCATCGCGCACACGCTTGGCCGCCAGCTTCGCCCAAAGGAAAGAGCCATCCGATGCTTCCACAATCCGAGCAACGGTCACCTCCTTGTCTTCGTTGGACATTTTGCTATACACATGGCTCTGTTGAAGGGTTTTGCGGGTCACCGCGCTAATGTCATCGAATATTAAGCCTAGGGTGACTCGCACTACCATTTGGGAGGTGACCGAGTCCACTGGATGGGAGCCGAGTGTGATCAACTTTAAACTGGGGGACTTGGATGCCGCTTCATGAAGCCGGTGTGACAGGGCCTTCTCCCCACAGCTGGCCTCGTCCACGCCGTCGACGACTAGGACTAGCTCTCTGGAACCTGCTCCACTAGTCTTGAGAGCACGGCCCAGGGCATCCCATAGGAGATTTTCATACAACTCTTCGTCCACAGTCAACCGGCTCTGGTTGTAAGCCTCCGCCAAGATTTGATATAGCTGCAGGTTGCCAATGCGCTTGCTCAACATCTGCGACATGATCGTCTTGGCGACGGCTCCCGGGGTGGTGTTGGCAGGGATTCGACCATCTATCTCGGCTCGTTAGAGAGTAAAAGTTTTGGGTTGAGGACAATGAAACTAACCGATAGATGCCAATATGGACATATACCTTGTTCCTCCTACGGGATACTGCAGATAATCATTGATCACAGTTGACAAAACCGTCTTGCCGGAACCCGACTTAGAGGTGATAGAAAGGACCTGCTTTTCGCCTTTCAAGAATCGCATCAGGTATGGCTTCACCCACGTGCAAGTGGCCTCCTCGCGCTCCTGGCCGGAGGGGGCCGTGGCTTCGGTGATATGGGCAACCACTGGGTCTTCGGGCTGCAACCAGTCTTTCAGGGTATTGATTCCGACGGCTAGATTTATATTATAAGTATGGATCACATGGCTTTGGGGGAGCGAGTCTACCTTTATCTCCCTCGAGGCCCTCTCGGATCAATTGATGACGCCACATAAGGTCTGAAATGTGCTCACAACGACCACGAAAACTGTCAATCGGACCTGGGAAGGTACTATAGATATCAATCGATACCCATTCCGAGGCAAGGAGTGACCGATGAAAGTGCGTGGCCACACAGACGACGAGAGTAACCAGATCAGCTAACGCAAGAATGAGCTGGTCTTTGATATCTGAAGAGACCACAAAGAGCTCTGCACGATCGAGCAGGTTACCTAGACCAGAAGAGCAGCGATAGAAAAATCCAAATAGGTCCATAAGGGCCGGAGCATTTTCCTCGCCCAACTGTACGCTTGTGGTCAGTCAATCCGATTTAGTGGGCACGAGGATGTGGCTTCTGCTCACCTCAAGCAAGCTCGCACAGTATCCATAGGATAACTGGGCGGCGAGGTGGCTGTCGCCGGCAAATTGTTCAATCGCTAAATCAAACGAATGCACACGCTCAATGAACAGGGCCGCCCACACAAGGGCATTGTCGTAGCCACTCCCCTCGGGCGGTAACTTTCTCATCCTCTCGCACCGAATCCACTCCAACAGGCTAGCATAGTCAGTATCGGACACCCGAGAGGCCGATAGGTCATCGCTGCCTCGACGCGCAAGCGAGTTGACTACATCTGCGAGTGTGGTGTTCTTAGTGGTTTGCTGGTATTGATGACTGAAACTCTTCTCCCTGGCTACGGTCGCGTGCTGCTCTGCCATGTTCGAAGTGGGTCGCAGACCGAGTAGCGAAGTGGAGGACAAAGATATGCCATGGGGCACTGAAGCCATGTCTGTGTGCATCAAATATGATAGAAATTATGATAATAATTAGGCTCGGTTGGATCCTAAGGAAGACATTATATGTCCCGGTTTAGGGAGGAAGCTCCTCTTCCTTGTACTCTTGTTCTCTCCCCCTCTCTCCCATGATGCTGTACTGCTGTACCATGTTGTGATTGTGCTGCAAAGTCCAAGACGTCAATATAAGCTCCAACCGATCATAATCGCAGAGCCAAAACAAGAGTACAGCATGTCTATGGAGATAGTATCTATTTTCGCCACTGATAATGGCATCATTTAGTTCCCGCCGTGGTCTCTGTATGGATCAGATCACTCGGTGCCTTTCGTGTAATGAAATCATAAACAGGCAAGAAAACAAGCAGAACAGGTATGTAGCCGAACCCTCAAGGGGTTAAGGTTTCCGGGCCGATCCTAGCAAAACCAAATGTGTCATTGCATTCGCTGAGAACGGTTCTTCCACGGTTATTGCTGGACGGTTGCAATTGATAACATAAGAACAACCATGGATCCATCTACGGGTGTGATGTAGGATAGATGCGGGGAAGCTGCGCACTTTTCAGAACCAGATCCATCGGCATCTCCATGGGCCTTGCGCCGCCAAATCTAAATCATTAACTACCAGGGATTGTATGTCGTAGGTTTAAGATGGCACACAATTAAATAAAAATGAGGTGAAGATGACGCTGTAGTGGGCCACAACCCAACCCAGATAGTTCAATTTGAATGAAATGACTTTAGTTGAAACATGGAATTGCCGCACCATATCTCCCTTGTGGCCTTCCAAACCCCGGACACTAAGAGTCCCACGGGGAATTAAGGTTGCATTGATATGCGGGGACGGCATTCATCTGTCCCCACATCCCGCTCTGCCGCTATGATCTCATTATCTACATCTCGGGACAGATGCTGTATAAACCATGGGACCGTCCCAAAAATAGTTGTCAACCAGACGATCATTAGGATTCCGCCGCGGTTCGCTTGATTGTGACTTCTAGTACTTCCGCGTCTTGAGGCAAGTCGGCCCCATCGTCATTGTTGTCGAAATATAATCTCCACAGATCCTGGCTATTCTCCACACCAACCACCTCAGATATCTTCTCGTCGTCCGGAACCCGCACGGCCAGCCAACCTTCCCAGCCCTCTAGTGTGATCCGCTCTTCATCTTGTGTCCAATCGAAAGGGCCACATATGTTTCCTTCGCTATCCTGTTTCCCTCCCCATCGTAGCTCATGGGTCTGCAAATCAACATAAACCCAACGTAGAGTTGGAGGCGTTTCGCCTGTGATGGTCACAAACCCCGATGTGTTATCAGGGGGGAAATCCGGATGTTGGTAGAAGGAACCATTTAGTGGGACAAGCTGTGAATCGGTAGATTTGGTGATGTACATCTAGATTGTGGTCAGTGATAGGCAGACTCGATTTCGGCCAGCGCATATGCAAGGGATAATAAAATATAAATCAATCGGTCGTATGGGAACTGACGTGCCTTTTTATCCGCGCCCAAGTATACTCTCGCATTATGAATTGCCAGGCTTTGGGGCAGTAATCCATTTGAGGGCATGCATTGGACTGAAAGGTAACAGCGCTCTTGACGCGCACTTTCCCGCCTGCGCTCTTCATGGTCCCGCGTACCCTTGGAAGCCTCGTTGACTCCAATGATGGTTGGGACCATCGCGGTCATCAGGAAAATGCCAAATACCATCTTAGTTCAAGGTATTATGCAGTGGCTTCGTTTAGTATGAACATTGGTTGTACTCGTAAGTTGTTTCTGGCCTTTCGACGAAGTTTCCAGCAATGTACTCTAGCTAGCTATGCCTTGCACATACTGTGGCAAGATGGCTTCTAAAGCCGTCGATCTATTTGACGTAAGGAAGAATTGATCAAAGTTTATCTTTTTTGATTCATAGCGGCAACAATTCCCGCTACCCTACACCAGGACCTAGTCGTCAACGAGAGGTTAAGGTTCTCATTCTGCAAACGGCTGGTTGTGTCCTAGGAGTTGAAGAAACCATGGATATGTGACCATATCATGCTTTCAATATCTCTAGGGTTCAGAAAATTAGTTCATAGACTAATACTGATGAGTGTCATTGACTCTCTGCCTTCTTACCATGAAGGGTACTATGAGGAGATATATATCGCAGGGGCTTTCTCCTCAAAAAATTACTACGCAAGCAATAATCAAGAACAACTATTACTACAGCCTAAGCAGTAAGTTTTATGCTCAAAATCTTCAACCTTTTAACGCATGGTTCAACAACGAATTTCGAATTTCTGATATTTTTCTCCAGTTCTTACCCTGTGGAAGCAAATTACGAGAAAATATGGGAGACCCTGTCCCAGCGTTAAGGTATATCAAATCCCAGTTTATACTTTATACCCTCATACTACTATTTTCTATGCAACAACACCCTCGTTTACCGGTCCCGGAGGCTAACCAGGCATTCAAACGGTGCAGTGCCGCCCCTGCCCTTGGTAAAGGAAAGCGTAGGGGCCGCGAGGGATCAGAAACCTCATCTTCGACCAATGACCCAATTGAGGATCTGGTGGAACCTGACACTCTGGCTAATGGAATTCCCCTGATTGGACCTGGCGCCGCCCGTGAACTTGACAGAAGAAGAAAAGATGACAACGAAGTGAAGAAGGACAATGATAAGGGTAGCCTGAACATCAAAATCCACCTGGACTTGCATGCCAAGGTGAAGTTGGATTTGGAGGCTGACATATATGGAGATATTGTGATTGGGCTACTGTGATGGAGAGCGTTGCGGGTTGTTGTTACTTATCAATGCGTTAGTTAATTAAATGGTGGATATACCGCCACTAGGCAATTTCAACTGTGAATCTCGATCACAGGACTTCTTCCATAATCTTTGATCGTACTTTTTAAGAAGGAAAGCCACAACGAAGGTGGGCGTCTATGTTTATCCTCTTGCTAGTTTGACTGTGAAGTGCAATATGTATGATCCTATAAATGCCTGGTTCTACAGGCTTGTTTGCTAGTTTGCTTACTAGCTCCAGCAACCTAAAGACCGCCGAAGAGAACTCAAATATAGGAAGAGCTCTGCAAGCTCGGCTACAACGGCAGTGCATCAGTGAGGCATGATTTAAATCCTCTAAGTGCACATTTCGGGCTATATATCGAAACAATTGGTCGCTTGGTTGGTAGAAGTTGGCGAACTGTGAGTTGGAGTAAGTTATTACAGATAGGGCATTCGGATATGAGAAGAGAAATGTATGTAGTGAAGAGGGGACCCTGCCACGGGGGACAGGGGCACCGACAGCCTTGTCTGCAAAACAGGTGTGAGAGCAGAGACGACGAGCGCAACGATCGGTAACTTACCGTGTATAATTGCGGAGCGAAGCAAAGCAATTAAATCATAACCTCGTGTGCATTCCACGTGACCAGGTCTTTTCATTAGTTTTAATGCGGTGAAGAAGTAGCCGGCTAACTTTGGCAGAATAACCCAACCGGCAGAATAAATAGCTAGGGAGTGGTCAAACACCACCAAGACCTTTTTAGGATATGCCATGGAGCATTTTTAGTCTAGCGGTATTGAGAAAGCAACGCTGAAAAGGGGGCTTCCCTTCTCGAACTCAAGTTATTGAACTAGAACTGCAACACGATATACATACTTTATCCTGCAAAATGGTAACATCTAACAAATCCTGTGACTGGTGCTCGACAGATAGGACAGGTCTCTGGTGATTTGAGATTTCCTGCGCATAAATCGCAGACCATATGTCCACATAGAATTGTCACCCAGCGATCTGGCTGCATATGATGATGTATCGACCACTTCAATACCTAGGTGATTGAATTACCTTGGAAGAGGGACTTTTGGCGGCGATTGGGCAAGAAAAGATCACTTCCAAATGGCGTACAAAGCTTGATCTCACCCGGGGCTCTTTCTTGGATTCTTCCCTTTACGTGAATCACAGGCTCACACAACACCAATCAGCCATCCCGACGGTACCGAGTACCACTTCAAATCTCCACGATGGCGTCCCAACACATTCGGGTAGCCACGCCCTCCAGAGACGCCATCCTCGAATCCCTCGTCGAAAATGTCCGCGCCTTCAATGCGCGTCTACCGCCAGGACGCGACAAGATCGTCTTTGGCGCGTGCGAGCTCGAGGCGGAATGCCGCTGCTTCTCAACCGGCCTGGCGCGCCCCTCCCGTGTAGGGAGCAGCCCGCCGAGTTTGAGACCGTCAACGGCCACTTTTCAGCCCAAATGCACGCTTTCTTCAACGCACTGCACGACCTCGAGGACATGGCAGACAAACCGTCCTCGGACGACCTAGACCTCTGCCGCCCAGACGAATGCCTTCGGCCCGTCATATGCGTTTCTAACCAGTCCGAACCCTATCTAGACTGCTTGCACCGCACCTTCTACACTCGCTGTCTTACCGTCCAGAACCCGGACAGCCTGCCCTGCCTCAAACGCGTCACTCACACTCAACTGCGCATCCTCCCCGACCGGGATCCTACCTTTCACCTAATCAACATACGGCCTGTCTCCTTACGTATACCTCTCGACCTCGCTACCTACCTCCCTCAACTCCGCGAGCTGGCCTGCCCCTGGCTATAGGAGTGCCTTCCCGTTGCCTTTATAGCTAAGGCACTGTGTATAATTTCCCGTGTCTGGGTAAGTCCTTGGCGCGATGACCGCGCTGAGTTTGCGTGGGCTATACGTTATACTATACCCTTATGGCCGTCCTCCCTTACTAAGGTCTATCTCTGGTTCTGGAGACCTAGCTCCTATTAGCACGAGGTAGACTAAGTAACGTAGATACCTAACCTTACTGGTATATTATCATTGTCCTCGACTAACGAGTTTAAAGGTATGAACCTTATGTCTCTTAGCGTTTGCCTCGTCTCTGCAACGGGAAAATATGCCCGCCCTTTGAGACGCTGAGCTATTTACGTGGCTTAGGTGGCGGCCCTCCAAGGAGAGGGCGAAGGAGTATGAAGGGAGTGATAACGTGCCTCCCACTTCGTATGAGGAGGAGATGGTTATGCGATGGGGGGTGAGATACGAGGCGCCTGCCGTTGGAGGAGATGGGAAGGGGAAAGTGACATGGCAGGTCGGTGAGGACTGGAGGCCGGAGGACGGAGTCATCAAGGCGTTTGAGGACCTTGTGGGGGGAGACGGGGAGAACATGGAGTGGAAAGCGTTTGAGTCTTTGGAAGAAAGGGAGCAGGATCCGGAGGACTGTTAGGAAAGAATCTCAGCCATTCAACCCAAATGACCCCCCTCCCTCGAATCGTCCATTCTACCGACATTTTCGATCGGCACTCGCGGTCAGAGAATCGTGAGTTCGATCCGAGCCTCCCTATTAGCGCCTCAACAAGAGAGAACTTCGGTTCTCAAACAGATAAGTCTCAGACCGTGGATTCAAATATCCTCCGGCATGAACGAACAGCCAGCGATGGGGACGATCTGTGCGACTCTAATAGCCCATAAGGAAGGGAGAATACCCGTTACCAGGTCAAAAATTTCCCGACAAATAGTATCGTCCGCCCCCTTTGTTCAAATAAACACAAACAAGGACCAGCAGGCTTAGAGATCATCCAATACAATCCAAACTATATATGCAGTGCATCAGGGAGAAGAACATATGGAGGGGAGACGCGAGATAGATGGCTATCTAAACTGGAACAATTCCTTGAGAAAATCCCGTCTCTAGAAAGTTGGACTTATGATCAAGGGCTGTCTCGTGATCAAGTTTTGGGTCTGAGATGCAGAAAAGTACTTGGAATAGCGGATCATACTCATACATCGATTTGTCAGGACACGGAAGCCTGGTCACGACGACTTGAAGGGGATAGCATCATTCCAGTTTTGCACCATGATCGCGATCTCACTATGAATGTGAGCGAACAAGAAGAGAGCTATCACAAAGTTGCATGCTTTCCAGAGCTCATCTTTATGTCATTGTGTGCGGCTGCGTCCCAGACAAGTGAGAATACAGCCAGTGTTTACGAAGCGATGCGCTTATACAAGAACACAAATCCTCGGGAAAAGCACTCGAAGAAGCTTATACGTGGCGCAATTTGGGCAAATCGCTCGATCTTCGCTTTAGCAGAGACTACATGGGGCCCGGAGTGCTCGAATGCATTCTTATTTGGCAAGTATAATATTTCAGATTTGGCTTTTATGCAAGAGCTAATCGCTTCAAGCCGGAGAATCTGTCTCCTCCTTTGCCCGATACGCGGAGTATGTCAAAAAGCGGCAAGAGGTGAGCACTAAAACGGAAAGAGAAAGGTCTCGAGTGCCAGGCATTATCCGGTACATATGCGTATGCGTGTGTTTAATTAACGAGAAGGAAGAAAACTCCAAGCAGATTTGCGATGAAAAGGACAACTGGTTTTGTTCAGGTGATACTGTTTTGTATGGCTTCAAATGTTCAGACCAAGACAAGCAACTGGACAGAAAACGATACCGAGCCATGGGTGATATATGAAAAAAGCAGCACGCCGGGACACCTTGATGCGAATATGTTCGTTCTCTTCGTTCTCTTCATTCTTCTCGGTTCTCCTAGTCAAATCCTCAAGCTCGGTTCAATAGCCAGCAGTCATAACCCCCATCCCATGATCCAGCAAGCTGCTCGAAGCAACATAGCTAAACCCACCGAAAGGATTACTCTCAGCAGCGAAGTCGTCGTCATCCGCGCCCTTTCCAGCTGGGAAATCCTGTCCCTTACTATAGTACTCATCAAAGCCGCCGGCAGTGACCGTCGGGCTAAGCGGGAGATGGGTGAAATCAGCGGAGAAGTTCTCGGCGAGTGCGGGGTCCGTGACGATAGGCTGGATAGGCGGGTCGAGCTCGCGGCGCTCAAGAGCAGCCCAGTCGATTTTGCGGAAGAAGCGGTGCTTCTTGATTATCTGCAGGTCCTTCTGCATGTGGTAGCCGAGGCGCTTGGAGGGTTCTTTGCGGAGTAGACGGGTAAGAAGGTCCTTTGCGTCGGGCCCCAGGAAGTAGGGGAGCGTGAGCTTTTGTTTGACAATCTTCTCTTGTAACTTTGCGTGGTTGTTTCCGCGGAACGGAGGTGAGCCGGTGAGGAGGTCGTAGCCCAGTGCGCCGAGGGACCACCAGTCGCATGCTTTTCCGTACGGCTTGCCTTGGATCACTTCTGGCGCCATGTAGTCGATTGTGCCGAGGAGAGAGTTGCAGCGGTCGTCGTCGCTAAGCGCGATCTTGCTGAGCCCGAAATCGGTTAGGAGGAGGTGGCCTTGCGAGTCTAGGAGGCAGTTCTCGGGCTTCAGGTCGCGGTAGAGAACGCCGACGTTCTGGTGTAGGTGTGCTAGTGCAAGTACCATCTCTGCCATATAGAAGGCTGCCGTATCTTCTTCGAACATGCGTTCCATGGCTAGGTGGTGGAAGAGTTCGCCGCCTTGCGCGTACTCCAGGATCAAGTAAAGCTTCTCGTGGTCTTGGAATGCATAGAATAGCTTGACGACAAAGGGGTGGCGGTTGACACTTTCCAGGATTGTGCGCTCCGTCTTGGTCTGCTCGACTAGCTTTTTGTGAACAGTGAGGGAGGCCTTCCGGAATTGTTTCTGAGCGTAGAGCTTGCCCGTGACGACGTGGCGCACCAGTAACACAGTTCCGAATGAGCCCTTGCCTAGACAAAGGAGAGGCACAAAGTCCTCCGCTGTCATCTTGCGGCACAGTTGACTACGCAACTCCGCAGTCATACCTGGGACATCCGCCTTGCGATCGTCCAGTATCTCTGGTTGAACAGCGTCGGAACTAACAAAGTCCTGATCCAGAGGGATTTCATAGCTAGTCAAGATTTCAGTGTGGTCGCTATCGGAGTAAAAACTGGCAACACTGGGGGTCTTGGAGACAAGTCCGCCCAGGCCAGCTGTGTCGTCAGACAGACTCAAAGTGTTAAGTTGAAGCTTCAACGCGCTGACCCCATGGCCTGTGGATGCCTGTATCAGTGGGCTAGCGCCGCCAAGCGCAGTTGGAGGGCAAGAGGGAGCACGTGAGCTCGCGGCGGAAAAGTCCGATTCCTCGTCGCCGGATGCCAGAGGGGTGAAACCGCGAACAGTTGCGCACGCCGGCCCGAATTGGTTCTTCTTCTTCTTCCGTTTTTGCTTCGGCAACATGTTCTCATTGAGAGTCTGGTTTGTATATCCATTGAATCCCTTGGTTGTCTGCTCTGGAGGTGATATGCCCATGTGTGCATTATGGCGACGGTGATTGGCTGGGATGTCAATGGCGGACTGTTCGCTGTCGGCTTGCGGAGCGAACACGTCCCCGACCGACCAGTCGTCAGAAGGCATTATGCTTTTGCTATAATAGCTCCGCGAGGGAAGCGAAATAATTTAGGCGAAAGCGCCGGCAATAACCGCAGGGTCAATAATTGACCTTGCGCGGTTGTAAAGAACGGTAGCAAGGTATTCAGAATACCTATTTTGCAGTCGCTGTTCACATAGAGAAACCCGGTTAGCCTCGATCGTCTCAATCTTAGATATCAACTGTAAAGAATGAATAGACGGGTGGGTGAGGGTTTTCACGCCCCCACTAATTATCGCCAAGGTAAAAGTAAAAATAACAAAAATAAAATAAAATCGGAAATGAAAGGCCGATCAAGGAGACGTACTTCAACTTGCGGAATTTATTCACCAAAGCACGGTTTTGCTTCAATGTCCGAACTAGTCAATAGACCAGCCTCGAATCTCTCGAGCAGGTTTACCGTCCGCCCTTCTTCAGGACGGACCTAGGACCCCTAGCCAAGTCACCTCGCTGGCCGAAAAGTCGAAGGCCAAGGTGAAAGCAGAAAGCGCTGGGTTTGTCGCGTTCGAGATGTCAGGAGGCGAGTTTAGAAGGGATGGATATAGATCAAGGTTGGCTAGGGAGCCAGTAAGCGAAATCAAAGCGAGCGAAGACGAAGGTACAGATAGGCACATAGAGGACGAGGATTTTGGTAAATAGAGATTAACAGTCTTTCTTCCCCGGGAAGTGAAACAAAGCAAGAAAAGAGCGAGATCGTGCAGAAATTCGGATTTCGCGCAGATCCGGGGGCTAAGCGACTAGTCCCAATTTGGATTTCACGTGTCAGATGCTGACATTAGCATGATCTTATTGGATTTATATGTTGGTATTGTCTTGATATGTCTTGATATTACAGTCTTTTTACTTTGACTAGCCCTCGATATCTTGCCAAGTGAGACAAGCCTCAATATTACAGCCACCAACTCGCATGACTGTCGATCTGCATACTGCAGCCTCCTGTGTAACATGAACCCCTTCACAGCCCTAATGGCTATTGAAGAAATCCTTCGAGCGAGTAATCTCCACACCAGACCGCTGGACAAAAGCAAGAGCACTTGGCTTTTCCACCTTAACCGTCACATGCTCATTGCCAAAGTCGACAGTCACAATGCGAGCAATGAAAGTGGCCAAAGACTCCACAGACTGGAAATCAGTCTGATCAACCTTCTATAATATCAAAATATGTCAGCAAATAAGACCCCAGAAAAATATACCAACAAATGCCCAGAGAGATAGAACCATACCTCAGCCACAGCCCGCGTCACAGCCTGGTAAGTATCAACAACAGCCGACCCCCAAGCAAGCTGCCCAGGACCCTGGAACGTAAGACCAACAACCACAGCCTGTTTCTCCAGCCTCTCATGAGGATTCACACCGAGGATAGCATAGCACCTAATACCCTCGATGCGGAACTCCTCCTCGAGAACCACCAAATCGCGCGCCTCCCCACCAGCACCCTCCTTCCCGAGCGCAATAACCCCCCGATACCGGAGCCCCTCATCCGCGCGCAACAAAGCCTTAGGCAAATGCAGCAGCACTTCGCACTCCCCATACGCCGCCGAGATAGGGTTCGGCTGCTTCTCCGCCGTAGCAGCCGACGTCGTCTCCAACAGACCTAGTCCGGCGTCCGCGACAACGCCCGCGACCACGCGCAGATCCTGGCCTAGGCCGCGGCTATGCATGTCCTCACGGCGCGTCCCCTCCAGACTGATCAATCGCTGCGACGGGTGCGATGCGGACGAGGTGTTTACGCCCATGTTGCGCACGTCGCTTTCTAGTCGGCGGAAGAGCTTGCCATAGTCGAGGGTTAGGGAGACGTTGTCGGTTTCCGCGGCTGTGATTATTGAGGAGTAGGAGAGCTTGAGGGTTGCAGTGCAGGGTTGTGATTTTCCCTGGCGGTGCCAGGCTTCTGGGGCACAGGGGAGGGGGAGCTCGATGTCGCGGAGACGGACGCTGTCGAGCACATCTGGGCGGGGTGGGAGTTGGATGGGTCGGTCGGTCATGATTGTATTTGTGTTGGTGGTTTAAGGAGGAGATGGTTAATGCGAAATTATCAACAATATTAATTAGATCAAGGGAAACTGAGAGGGGAGGTTTTTTTTTGGCGGGGCACCCGTGGATGGTTGTAGATCATGACGGTAGAATCCACACGGGCATTTCCGTTTTATTTGTCGCAGAATCATAGATTAGATGGAGACTATCGGTAGTATTATGGGATATTGTTTGTATTTTTGTTCACTACACGTGCTAGAATTGGTTTGGTGGAGATTGTGATAATATATATCTGGTAATATATATCTGGGTTTAACATGGCTCCGTACCCAAATTTAGATACTAGGACGTTACGAATCGAGAACCCGGAATATTACAACAGGAGAAACCAACCAACTAAAGGAAAAGATTAAGATTTTCGGATGCTAACACACATACGATAGTCCGGGGCTAACAAGACAGACCAATAGCGATAACCGCCTAGCCTCCAGCCACCCTAAAGCTACCAGGGAAGAAAGAAAAGATTGAGCACTCGCGCTGTCCAGTCGTCAGGAAGAAAGAAAAGCACCCGGCCGCAAGAACGCTGAACGGAACCTCGGCAGGTGAAAAAGAATCATGACACCATGAAATCAGTACGAGACGTTGCGGGTATTTGGCGAAGGAGGTCAACAAAAAAATGATGGTAGAACGGAAGAATATGCAATAAATCCAATCAACGAAGACCCGGCGCCATCTACCAGTAGCGAGGACGGTCGTAAGGCACATACTCGCCTCTTGGTGGAGAGCGAGGACGACCATAACCCCGGGCAGCTAGGTAGGGATCATCATAGTGGCGAGGGGGTGGGGGAGGCCGGGCCTCGTAGGGGTCTTCGTAGGGACGACGTGGGGGTGGGTAGTCTTCCATCCGAGGGCGAGGGGGAGTCCGGCGGGCATAGCCATCCCGTTCATAGTAGGGATCGCGGCGGATAGGAATCGGCGACCGCTCACGGTAGTGCTCCCGCGGACTGTAGCCACGTGGGGGAGGGATCCGGCGGTCGTACTCCTCCATGGGGGCAGGGTAGGGGCGACGTGGTGGGGAACGGGACCGGTATGGGTCACGAACGGGGCGTTCCTCAAAGTTCTGAATCTGGGATTTGGTGAGAGGGGGTTCCTCTAGGTCCGAGCCAGGTTGGACGCTTACATCGGCGACACAAGATACGACGGAGCCCTTGAACTCTCGCTGGTCCAGTTTCTCCACGGCGGTCTTCAGGTCGTTGGCGGTTTCAAATTCCACAAACCTTGTTCAAATGTCAATGGATTGGAAGGGTCTCGGAATACAATGGTTCACCCACCCTCTGCCCTGTTCTCGGCCAGTTTCAGAGTAAACAACGTCCAGTCCAGACTGGCGGGCGAAGTCTTTCAAGTCCTATTGAATGTATGGTGAGTCCAGGTCCAGGAAAGGTATGTCCGGTAAATGTGGTGAGAGAAAATGTAAGCACTCCCATGTCCAGTCCGAGGGGGTGTATCCAGAATGGCCATCTTATATATCCAAAAGTCCCAAGAAAGGTTCCATGGGTCTGACAAGGTGTGGTGAGTATGCAAGGATTAAGGAGCAATTCTTAAATCTCAAGGTAAAAGAAAAAGCTATAGAAGCATTTCTCGGTTATCAAGAGAGGAATGATAATGGATTAGTACTCGATCCTTGGCTCAACCGATGGCCACAAGGACAATGGACTGGAAGCATGTGTGGGCTGAATAGAGACGGGTTTGAGGAATATACGTCAGGAACTCCGGGAAGGAATGGACTTGCTGCTAACCTGCCAACTTGTTTCTGGAAGACCGGAAATCTGCATGCGGAACATAGTGCGACGTGGACGAGGGAGCGCGTTGCGGTCAGGCGGTCCCGGGAAGGCTTCCTTGCGACGAGGCCCGCGCGCAAACTGAACGGTGAGTCGCTCGCCTTTGAAGTCACTGCCGTCTGTAGTATGGATAAGCGAGGGGTCATTGGGTGGAAAGTCATGGGGGGGCATACGGAAGGCTATAAGAAAATAATGTTAGCGACTTTGCGCGATGAAGGGAATCTGATAAGCCATTCTTACCGGGCACAATATCTCTGGCATCCAGCTGGTCGTCGTATTCGATGAAGCCGAAACCGTTCATCAATTTGATCTCCGTAATCTTACCGGAGCCATGGCTGCTGAAATGTTCCTCGATGTCGCTTTTGGTCACTGTGATAATAAAAGCAGAAAGAGGTTAGCGCATCATTTCTCCAAAGTGACTCCAAAAGCACCGGTTAGGTGGCCACCCGAGGCGCTGTTCCATGTGGGTAGCATTCCACATGAGCATACGAGAGGTCAGAGCACATGGGACTCAGAGGATCAGCGAAGCGACTAGATTATGCACGGTGGTGCGTGTGTTCTCCAAAACTCAGGGAAGAGGGACAGTCAGGTACCAGCATACCATTGCGGGGAAGATTCCCAAGATAAAGGCGGGTTGAGGATACCTCAGTCATGGCTAGTCTGAAGCGATTGATGAGCGAGGATAGAAGGGAACCTGGCTAAGGCGAATCCTAGAGAATATGGATGAGATCGAAAAGGCGGGAGAGCAGAGAGAAGTTGTCAGTTGCGGTCTCGCTGCAGGAAAGCGTGTAACGTGTAACCCGACAAACGAGAGACGGGTAGAGGGTAGATGTACTGCTGCAAAGTCAAACGGCTGAACAGCAGAACAGCAAAACAAATACAAAAGATACCGAAGCGAAGAGCGAGAGGGGAAGAAAAAGAAGAAAGTACCGTCTGGCGGTGGACAGAGGGTGGCCGCCTCACTTTTTCTGATCCACGTGGTTCCACCATAGTAAAAATAGAGGAAGAGAGAATATGAAACAGTTATTACTATATAGAGCGATTAATTAGATTACATGTAATAGCTACAATACAAACTATATACCTCCATAGTTTAAAGGAAGTAAGGCTTATCCCTCGTGGACTCTCTCCACTGTCATTCCACGGTTCTGCCAACCCCATGGGGTCTTTTTTTGGTTAACCTGTTTTTCCTATTTGAAACATCTATATGTACATTTGGTTCTCGAAATCCAACCATTCTATATTAAAGCCCCTGGTTACTATCATGGGATCACGTCATGACGTACTTGGGCCCCTCTCCACCTTGAGGAGTCACCCAGTTAATGTCTTGTGTGGGCACCTTGATATCACAAGTCTTGCAGTGAATGCAGCTGGTAGATAGTTAGTATACCTCTCTATCCCCACGATAATTCAAATCGAGAAACTTACTTTTGTGAGTTGATCTGGAATCGGACCCCGTACTTTTTGCTAGGGTCCTCCACGTATTCGTAGACGCCTGCAGGACAGAACCGGTTTTCAATACCCTTGTAAACCGGCCATGAGAGGTCCGTATGTTTATCCATGTCCTTCACCTGCAGGTGAACCGGTTCGTCTTCCTCATGATTGGTTCCAGTCCGGCTGACACTGGTCAGGATATCGAAACTGATCACTCCGTCTGGCTTGGGGTAAACGATCTTCTCGTATTCAGAAGCAGGCCTGGTAGCTGCTGCATCAGTGCCGTGGTGGCTGAGCGTCCAGGGCACCCGGCCCTTGAACAGGTAGGCCTCCAGACCGGAGTAGAGAAGTCCTCCGAAGAAGCCGAAAGGGGTGTTGAATGAGGGCCGGATGTTCCGGACCTCGGAAAGTTCCTTCCAAATGGATGAATCCCGTAGAGATTTCTCGTAGTCAAACAAGAAGACGGTGCCTTGGCTCTCACCCTTAAGCGCCGAGTAGGCAGCCTCGGCGGCTAACATGCCGGATTTCATTGCGGTGTGGGTACCCTTGATTTTCGGGACGTTCAAAAAGCCGGCCGTGTCACCAATCAAGGCACCTCCGGGGAATGCGCACTTCGGGATCGACTGGAATCCACCCTCGTTCAGTGCTCGGGCCGCGTAAGAAATGCACTTGCCGCCCTCGAGAACCTCCTTGAACATGGGGTGGTGTTTCAACTTCTGGAATTCTCCATACGGCGAAAGCCATGGGTTCGGGTAGTCCAATCCTGTCACCAGACCGATACTCACCATGTTATCGCCAAAGTGGTACATCCAGGCTCCACCATAGGTATCCTTGGGAAGAGGGTATCCCATCGAGTGGGTAATCTCGCCTGATCGGAACTTCTCGGGCTGAATCTCCCAGATCTCCTTGATTCCAAGACCATATGTCTGGGGCTGGCAGTCTCGTCGAAGATCGAATTTCTTCATCACCTGCTTGGTCAAGCTGCCGTGGCAACCCTCAGCAAGAAGCGTGATGCGGGCATGGAACTCCATTCCTCTCTCAAATGTCTCCTTGGGCTTGCCCTCCCGAGTGAGTCCTAGGTCGTTGGTCGCAATGCCCTTGACGGAGCCATCTGTGTGATAGACCACCTCGCTGGCTGCGAACCCAGCGTACACCTCCACACCAACCTCTTCCGCACGCTCTCCCAGCCACTTGGTCAGCTCGCTCAGACTGATAATATAGTTTCCCTCGTTGTGCATCTGGGGCGGGGTGGGCAGCGGGTACGAGCCAGTCTTCGTCAGGAAGCGCATCTTGTCGCCTTTCGCGGGAGTCGCACCCTGGAAGCGCGAAGGGTTGTCCTCGGCCAGCCAGTCGGGAAGCAGCTCATTAAGAGCGGTCGGTTGCAGAACGTTTCCGGAGACAATATGGGCGCCAATTTCACCGGCCTTCTCTAGTAGAACAACGCGGAACTCATCGTTGCCTGCCTCGTTGGCAAGTTGCTTCAAGCGAATCGCGGCGGCGAGACCGGCGGGACCTGCAAACCAAAGCTTGGTTAGGATATATACTTGGAGAACCAATGTGGCAAAAAATCACATACCACCGCCAACAATGCACACATCCACGTCATCGGACTCCCTGTCTAATGTGCGAGGATCGAAGTCGCCATTCTCGTCGGTGAAGCGCTTTGACAGCGATTGCGAAAAGGCTCGTGTCTGGGTTGGCGCGGTGAATAGTGGTGTTCGCCGAGCTAAACGTCGCCCAGAAAGTGTGAAGGGACTGGCTGTGTGCGCTGGCGTAGCAATGGAGACGGAGGAGGTAGCTCGTGCGAAGCGGGAGGATCGAAGTTCACGCCTCAATAGAGGCAAGACGGCACCTTTTGATGCCATGGCGGTGTAAATGGTTCAAAGATCGGAGGCTGAGACCTGGATTACTTTGCGACCAGTAATTGAGCTGATGCGGGGACTCAGGATATTTACGTCGTAGATCCCGAGTGTCTCCAGTACCCGAGTTCTGAGTGGAAGTGACAAAAACGCCGAAAAACCGCCTGGCTACCCTCGGCTCACTTCTTTCAGCCAATAAGCAGCTGGGCGATTATCCAACTTCCAGGCCTGAGGCAGCCATGGATGGATGCCACCGCCCGAAGTGGGAATCGCCACTAGCCGACGCCGACGAACTGGTAGGAGCTGGGCGGTTTCTTTAGTATATTTAGAATAATATGCACTGGCTCAACTCTTATCACATTTATGCGCCGCGGCTTGACTGAACTTGGAGCCCCTGGCGGTATCCTAGTATATTTACGGAGAAGTATAAGTAGTCTGCAATGCCCAATTCTCGTCACGTTTAGGCGCCCATGTTCAATACGATATAGATACTCTGAGTTGATCACATGCATCACATGCTTAGCTTCCTTCACTTGTGATAGTGAAACGGAACAATATTGGCATTAGCTCTAGACTTATTGAAATTGCATACATATCTATATGCCAGAAACAAGCTTAAATACCCGAGTCATACTGTCAAAGCAGAATGCAGTTTCCCGTATTCCGTATTATTACTACATTTCGCGGAATGTGACGATTATGCCGCTTCGGGTATGGTATTCAGCATACTATACCATACCATACCAGCATACCGGAATCCGCTAGAAAATGTAAAAAAACATGTGACCTGAGAGTTGAGAATAACAAAGTCTCAAGAACTGAGTTGGTATCTGTATGTTGTATGTTGTATGTTGTAGATGAAAATAGATTGCAGGGAGATTCCAAGAAGTTAAAAAAAAGACCGATCATCGTTAGATTGCTCGCAGATTGCTCGCCATGAGATTCATCCAGCCTTGGCAGACAGTGGATCAACGCCGCGGGCGTCAAAACGGCCACCTGTCCTGATCGAAATCTCTAGGGAGAGTCATTGATATGAAACCAAAAAAAGTACTCCGTATAGTCGGATCAAATATAATTTCCGAGCGATATAACCTCCTATCACAGTCAGTTTCCAACAAGATCCGGTATAATGAGGCGATTATAGTGAATCCCCAGTGTAGTGAGGTCAGAGAGTAGGGGAGGAAACAAGGCAAAAAAATCAGAATTTTTGTTCAGTTGCCATCCGTTAAAGCGGCAAGAGGATAGCGCGTCGTACATGGAGTGACCGAGGTTAGTCGATGACGATGATTGGACTGGCATGGGACGGATGGACTATCAGCTGCAGGAGGAGCGCGGACTGGCAAACTCAGACCTGTAACCCATGGCGCCGCGGAGGATAAAGCAAGGGTGTTTGAGCCAGTCAGGGGCCGATACAGAGAGATTGGCGGAGTGCGCTGGGCGAATGAAAGTGACCAACGATGTTGTGCTTCTGTGATTGGCTCACAGGGTGGTTTCCCAGAGCCGCTAGCGGGCTCTGAAGCCAAGGTTGAAGGGACCAAAGTGCCGCTGCTTTAACCGCCACCGGTGGCCCAGCCTCCCCTGACTAGGCTGTGACTCAGCACTATATAAAGACCCAACCTCCCCCCAATTTACCGTGGGAATTTTGTCTCGGTCTTGGCGGATCTTATTTCGGAAATCCTTCTTCCCTCCGCTCCTCTCAAAAAGCCTCTTGATTATCAAATTGATCTTGATATCTGCTGGCTTTCTCTTACTAATCAGATCTATCTCACCCAGATCTTTGATTTTCGAGACCCTTGATTTTATCAAAGGGAAAAAAGGTTTCTTGGTCCACAGACCTAAACGTCCATAGAAGTCGAGCCTCAGGCATCACTTCACCACTATCTCTTTTTCAGATCGTGCAGATAGACAATCCCATTTTCCAAAAAACAGGGCAAAACATTTTCGAAAGAAACAAAAAAAAAGTGCCGTCCTTCCGTCCATAATATCGCCGTCGCGCCTATCTTGAAAAAAACACTTTAGTGTGATTTTTTTCTCGATTCGTTCACCATCGACTGCGTTGGGTTTCGTTGCATATACTATCCCGTGGCTGTGATTCACGAGAGGTTACGTGCGAACACCTCGTAGGGGGATACATTGAGTTGTCCATCTCCCAGGTAAGAAGCTCCTTCTGTTTGTGTTTGACGTTGTGCCTTCCTTTTTCTTCCTTCCGCGTTCTTTCCCTCGACACACCTTCCCTATTGATACGTTCTCGGGAATCTTTCCTTGTTGATATTTTCTCTTCTCCTCACGTGTTCTTCTTCTCTCCGCTCCTCTGTCACGCGTCGTTTTTTATCTCGCGACTTTTCGCGACTCGAGCTGACAGATCTTCTTGATCAGTTCCATCTTTATTCTTGTCACAACTCGAGTATTCCATCATGGATTCTCTCACCACCCACCCCTCCAATGCGCAGCAGGCTCGTGCCTTCACTGCCACCTCGTCGCTGTCTTTCCCTGGTGGTGCTGGGGATTTGACCCCGCCTAACTCCGACAAGGAGGCCTTGGCAATGGCACAGGGCGGAAATGGTATGAATGGCCAGCAGGCCGGAGCAAATGCCATCCATGGCACCGGGGTGACTCCCGCTTCCCCTGCGACCCCCGCCGCGACCCCTGGCGCCACTACTGGAAGCAGTGGCATTGTCCCTACCTTGCAGTGAGTATACTCTGGACGTTTTTCTGGGTGACCAGAATGGCTGAACTAGTTATTCCAAAAGGAACATCGTTGCTACTGTCAACCTTGACTGCCGTCTCGATCTGAAGACTATCGCGCTGCACGCGCGTAACGCCGAGTACAACCCAAAGGTATTTATTATTCCTAACATTGCTCTGAGAGCGCACGCATCAGGGTACAATGTGGCTGAACTTGGTTCTCTCCTTAGCGTTTTGCTGCCGTGATCATGCGTATCCGTGAACCCAAGACTACCGCTCTCATCTTCGCCTCCGGCAAGATGGTCGTCACTGGTGCCAAGTCCGAGGATGATTCCAAGCTGGCCTCGCGCAAGTATGCGCGTATTATCCAGAAGCTTGGTTTCAACGCCAAGTTTACCGATTTCAAGATCCAGAATATCGTCGGCTCCTGCGACATCAAGTTCCCCATCCGTTTGGAGGGACTGGCCTCTCGTCACCACAACTTCAGCTCCTACGAGCCTGAGCTGTTCCCTGGTTTGATCTATCGCATGATGAAGCCCAAGATCGTTCTCCTGATTTTCGTCAGCGGCAAGATTGTCCTGACTGGTGCTAAAGTCCGCGAGGAGATCTACCAGGCTTTCGAGCTGATCTACCCTGTACTTTCTGGTATGTCTTGCTGGATTCGCTGCCAAACCTTTACTGACTTCCTTCTTAGATTTCCGCAAGGTTTAGAAAGTTCCAGGGAAGATCACTCTATGCGTTTCAAACCTGTATTAACATTGCTTTTTCCCTTTATGAGGACAGTCGTCTGAGGTCTGTCCGTATCTCGCTTTTCCTTCGGTTATTACGACTCTTTTCATGCAAGCATAGTTGGGCGTTTTTAGCGATTCGGATGATCCCCGGTTTTCTCACACTTTCGCGTTCTTCCACACAATTAGATTGCTGCACACCGCAGTGAGGCGGTTGTGCGCCGGTCGATGACTGCCTCGATTTAATCATTTATCGTTCTACAATCTGTGGAGGATTTTATTCCCACGGGCCAAAAAAATTAATGGTGACCTAAGGCAGTCTGTTAGACTCAGCTCCGTCCTTGTTTTCCCCTCCGGGGTTGATGGACCGGCTTTTTGCCGTGATACTACCTTTGAGTAGTCAATGCAAATGTCTTAAAAAAAGAATTCCTCTCGTACTCGAGTAGATGTAGTTTGTAGTTCAAGCCTTGATCTGGTTTATAGTCTAAATGCCTTTCTTTATACATCCAATGTCTATGCTATATACATCACATGGAAGGATACATCCGGTCTAGAGCACACTGCTCCGCGAAGCCTTCCTTGTCTTCGCCAACTCGTCTTTCAGAATCGGTCTCCTATCCCCAGATCGACTACCATCGCCATCAAAGTCCTCATCATTCGACACAGCAACCTCGGGCCAAGTCCACATCTTGCTTAACTCGGAATCAAGCGTGCCCTCCAGCGCATCCACAACCTTGTCTCCAATAACAGGGAAGAACTTAAACGCGTGGCCGCTACCACCGGTAGCAAGGAAAAGACCTTCATGGTCAGGGTGATAAGAAACAATGAAGTCACCCGTGGGCCTGTTCAACAAAATTAGCACCCAGTCCACAGACAACTAAAAGACCAAACTCACGTATCAGTATACCAACAAACCCTCGTATTAACAAACTCCCTCTCCGCAAAACGCGGCAACAGCTGCCTCAAGGCAACGCGGAACGCATCCTGTCCTTCAAGCGGCACAGGTACCCCATTCTCAGGCAGACTAACCACCATCGAGCCCTCTCCAGCACCGGGAACCGGCACCTCAACGGGATTGCGATACCCAAACGCATGGCGCGCAATCTTGAGCAGATTATCTCGGGGCGGGATAATAAAGATGCCCGTCGCGAAGTTCAAAATCGTCGGCAAATTCTCCAGCTCGCGCTGCTCCTCATCCGAGATGCGCATATAAGCAATCGCCTGTCCGGTCGCAACAGCCCGGCCGCGCAAGTCCACCAGCTTCGACGTCCACGCGCCAGTCGCCAGCACCACCAGATCCGCCTCGAGGGTCGAACCATCCGCCAAGACAACACCGGTGGCCTTAGGCTTGGCACCGGTCGTGTCATAGAGCACACGCTCGACATCACCAGTGCGGAAGATCACCTTCCCCTCAGCGTCGAGGACGCCCTTGGCATAGCGCACGCTGGCCGCGGCGTCAGACCACCCAGACCCCCAGTTCACGTAGCCGCCGGCGACATCGAGCGTCGAGCCGTAGGCCGGGACGACGCTGAGCACGTCCGCTTGCGTCGGCAGGAAGGTGACGTTGTCGCCGAGCTGGCGCACGTTGGCGTAGCTCTTGCGGGCGTACTCCTTCGCGCTGGCGCTGTTCTCTGGGTACACGAGGAGCAGGCCGTTCTGCGTGTAGCGGCCGTCGCGGCCCCAGTCTGTGCTACGCCAGCGCTCGATGGCGGCTGCGGCGAGCTTGGAGTAGGCCGTGTTGGCGTAGTCCGCCCGCACGATCCGTGATGTGTCCACAGAGGATCCGTGCGGGTTTGGGATTGTCGGTGAGGACTCTACGACTGTTACTTGGGATTCTGGGTGTCGCTTTGACAGGGAGAGGGCGGTGGATACTGGGAAATGTTAGCTGTGTGGGAATTGATATCAAATGCGTAGTGTAGTGTGATAGTGTAGAGTGCTATAGGTTCTATTATTGTTCACACTTACATCCAAACACGCCCCCTCCGACAATCAGAATCTTCGACGGCAATGCCATTTGCAAAAATATGTGTGTTTGTGGGTTAAACACCAGAATTGGAGATCAGGAGATGGATTTCTCCAATTGATAGATAACACGCCGATAACGGCATTGCTCGTCGGCTCAGCTCCCGACTTTTCTTTCCTGGTCGATATCGTTACTCCGATCTATACGGAATGAGATGTGCGACTGAGCTCGGGATTTGATTTTGATCCGTTCGGTTTTCATTTCTTCTGCCTCTAACTTTCCTTTGGTCTCGCGGGCTGACAACCCTGTCGCGTAAGCACTCAATCTTCGCGTCAAACCATATATGCACAACAGGCTACACAACCCTCGGCAGTCCATTCTGCTAGTTCAAAACATCGTAATGAACGTAAATCAATTGCGCCGAGTGCCATTAATTGCAAAGTGGCCCGTCACACCCCGCCGCAGCGCATCAAGCAAAGCACCTCGACCCAAGCCGAGGCATGTAACCAGAACCATTCAATCTCAACCCCAAACTGACACCCTGCAGTCCCCAAAAATCCAAACCAGTGGCGATAAAACGGCGTCAACCAACCCCGCCTCGCCAACATCACCCCGAGCGCCCATCCTCACAGCCCGAAACCCCCGATGCCGCAACAGCAAAACCAAGCCATGGCATCCCACCCAGAGCCCTAACCTTCCTGGGCATCTCCGCACTCACCATCAGCACATACTGCGGCTACCTGTACGCGTCGTACACGCGTGAAGTAAGCAAAGCGCAAACTCTCGACGTACCGCGCGATGTCTCAGACCGCTACAACACAACAGCGGCGACCTTCGACGCAGACGTCGAGCTCTCCGAAAAGGCAATGGGACTCGGCAAGAAGCGGCGAGATCTAGTGCGCCAGGCGCGCGGGAACGTGCTCGAGGTCAGCTGCGGCACGGGGCGCAATCTGCCGTATTATGAGCTCGGCGAGCGGCGCGGGTTGGATGCCGATGGGCACGCGGCCGTGCTGGGTTGTCGCTCGGTTACGTTTGTTGATCTTAGTCCGCAGATGGTGGCTATTACGAAGGAGAAGTTTGAGAAATTGCATCCTGCGTTCCCGGCGGTGTTTCGCGCTTGTGATGCGGGGAAGGTTGAGCCGGCTGATATCGGGCGTGCTGGGAAGATGCAAGCGCCGGTTTACTTTGATACCGTTGTGCAGACTATGGGGCTTTGCTCGATGCCGGATCCCGTTGCTACGCTGCGGCATCTCGGCTCGGTTACCGAGCCTGTGAGGGGGCGGATCTTGTTGCTGGAGCATGGGCGTTCGTATTATGATTGGGTTAATCGGATTTTGGATAATCTTGCGCCGTCTCATGCGGATCGTCATGGCTGTTGGTGGAACCGGGATATTGGAGAGATTGTTCGTGAGAGTGGGTTGGAGATTGTGGAGGAGAAGCGTTGGCATCTGGGGACTACGTGGCGTTATGTGTTGAGACCGAAGCAGAGTGAGAAGTCTCAGTCTTGATATGGTGTGGCTTGGCTGGAGCTATGTAACATAATTTGGAAATGTGTATGAATATTTGGCGTGATAGGAATGGATTCAGAATAGACTATAGAATTCAAGTGATGAGCAAGAACTTATCTCGGAAATTGGCCTCATCCATATTCATCCCTCTGTCCTTAATAACGATATCTGAAGCCGGGCGTCTTCCAATCCGTGACATCCTCATAGTCATTCGATACCAATTGCACCCGGTTCACCATATCCGCCACATTATTCGAATCGTCAGCGTCCAACCCCTTCCCACCAACAGCACCCGAGTTTCCAGCACTACCCTCAAAGCCCTCCAGACGCACACGGCGAGCATTAGACCACTGCAAGTAGAAGCGCAGCACCAACGCCAATACGACCGCCAGGGCATAGCAAATCATGATCGTGCGGAAGGCCGTGTTATAAGTCGGGGCCTCCTCACTAAGGAAGAACTGAGGTCCAGAGATATTTCCAGCGCAGTAAGCCAGGAAGAGCATTGCAGTGACTGTCATTTTCTTAGTGACACCACGATAATTAGCCTGGACCAGCGACATGGCAAGCGGCATTGCGGCCGGACCAGTCGACAAGAGGAAATATCCAAAGAATTGCACGCCCAGGACGATATGCGCGCGGGAGTAGATAATGGCACTGCCGACGACGCAAGGGATCACAACGGCCACGATAAGCAGGCAGTTCAGTTGGCGGAAACGACCGGCCAGCCAGCCCGTTCCGGTGATTGTGGCCACGGTGATGAGCGAGTAAGGGATGGTGAGCAGCGTGGATTGCAAGTTTGTGAAGCCGAACGAGACAATCACTAGATTGGCAAAGTTCTGCGTTCCTCCGTTGGGGATCTGGGTGCAAAGCTCCAGTCCGAATATAAGCCACGTCTTTGGATCCATCAGGCATTCGACGACTTGGTCCCATCTCCATGCGGTCTTCTCTGTTGCACCTGTGCCTGCAATGACGACTCGGTTGCTTGCAAACTGGCGTTCCTCTTCCGAGAGGAATTTAGCCTTGGAGATTGAGTCTGGTAGTAGAGCCCAGACAGCGAATCCCCAGAGGAATGTCGCGCAGCCGAGGACGATGAACATCCACCTCCATGGCCCGACGTTATCCTTGACGTGACCTAGTCCGTAGGCGAGGAGACTGGAAATAATACCACCGACACTCTGTAAAGATGAGCTTTTATTCAATATATTGACAGGAACAACATACGTTTCCGGCGAACCATAGGCCTGTCCTAGTAGGGATCTCGTCACGCGTGTACCACGTCGACGTGATAAACATAAACGCCGGCGTGATGGTTGCTTCAGCGACTCCAAGCAAGAAGCGAACTGTAATGAGACCGCCAAAGTTGGTGCAGGCTGCAGTGAGGGCCACCACAGCACCCCAGAATAGCGTGTTGGCCGTCAAGTATTTGGCGGCGGGCAGACGGGTAATCAGCAAGGTTGTTGGATATACCCAGCCCAGGTAGCCAAAGTAGAAGATTGATGATACCCAGCTGTACTGTTGGCCAACCAAGCCCTAAAAATGATATTAGTTGTGGTTCTTGTTTGTTCTGGACATGTTCTTACAGTATCGTCCCTCATCCCGAAGACAGATGCGCTGGACAAGATGGTTTTATCCATGAAATTAAACATATAAGTCGTGAAAAGCAGTGGTACCAGTCGTCTGTCAATCTTCCTCAGGACTCTTTTCGCCATAGCGTGGTCGGGGGTAATTGTTTCCATGGCCATTTTTAGTGAAAAGAAAGGGAATACTGGATCTCAAGACATTTGAACACTTGAACTCTTCTTATTGAAAAGTTCATATTCCCCTGTTATCTTTCCCCGCACCGGTAATTTGTCCAACCTATACTTGTTATCGCCGTGATCGGGCGCCAATTGGACGAGGATGAAGCCAAGTCCTTTAGGGCTAGAGCTAGTAGCTAGTATGGACGATCTTTTCGGAGCTCTTCTTCTACTCCGAACCCAACTCTGAATTTGACATCTTGCCAACTACTTACTCCGAACTTGTATTGATTTCGCCGATAGTGAGAACCACTTCAGCAGTAATCATGAACGGCCTCACAATCACCCCGTTCATAGCCAATCTTCCCAAGGTCGAACTCCATGTTCACATTGAAGGCACTTTAACACCCTCACTCCGGTGGGAGCTATCCCACCGCAACAATATTCCCCTCCCGTACGCCACCTTCTCAGACCTGCAAGCCTCCTACGCAGTAACCCTCAACCACCGACCTGAGCTCAATGGCCGCCAACCTGGTATCCCAACCTTTCTAGAAGCCTATTTCGCCGGGTGCGAAGTTTTACGCGCAGAAACCGACTTCTATGATTTAGCCATGGCCTATTTGCGCCGATGCGCAGCCATGAATGTGCGCTACACCGAACCCTTTTTCGACATCCAGGCGCACACACGTCGCGGCATCCCCGCAGCAGCTGTCCTGGACGGCTATCTACGCGCGCAACACGACGGTGCCACTCAGCTGGGCGTGCATTCGCGCTGGATCATGTGCTTCTTACGCGACGAGCCTGTGCAGCAGGGTCTAGATGCATATCGCGAGGCGCGGCCGTGGGCTGCTGGGACTGTTGAGGGAGGAAAGGGCCTGTTTCATGCTGTTGGGTTAGCGAGTAATGCGTACGAGAGGCCGCCGATGCTTTTCGAGGAGGGGTTTGCGTTGGCGCGCGCGGATGGCTTGCACGTTACTATGCATTGTGATTTTGGGCAGAAGGATACGCGGGAGCATGTAGCGCAGGCTATTTTTGAGGTCTGTGGAGGAAAAGGGGCGGAGAGGATTGATCATGGGTTGGATGCGGAGGATTGTGAGGTGTTGTGGCAGGGGTTGGTGGATAGGCGGATTGGGCTGACTTTGTGTCCGCATGCTTATCATCGAAGGACGGCGACGGAGGTTTTGTTTCCGAAGATTCGGAGGTTGGTGGAGAGGGGGGTGAAGATTTGTATTAATAGTGATGATCCGACTTTGATGCATGATGTCTGGATTGATGGGAATCTGCAGAAGGTCTATACTTATTGTGGGTTTAGTCGGGGAGAGATGGTGCAGCTGGCGAGGAATGCGGTGGATATGTGTTGGGCTGAGGAGGACATCAAAAGAGCTATCTATCAGGAATTAGATGGTATTTATATTTGTGAATAACTTGCCTAGGAGGGTTGACTTCCCCCCAAACGAGATCCTGACACGGAATGTTCCAGATGACTTTTTCGAAGGCAAACTGAGTACCTTGTTTGTTTGATATTGTGAGAACAGCACGTCATGTGGCAGTCTTACCCCTCTTATATTTAACTTGGTCCTTCATCCTCTTCGACTTTCATCCTTCTTGATACCTGATAGTTACATCCCATCAACACTCATGGCTCGGCCTCTGAGGATGATTTCACCGGCCATCCACTGATGATATATTCTGTCATCTCTATACAATCATGATGTGAACTCGCTCAGCTACTGCTGATTTCCACGGGAGACTCTGAGGTCCGGGTTTTCCACACTCACCTTCAACTCGGGCTCTCTCTCTCTCTATATATACGGTGGGTCTTATCATCACCCTAACCTCTTCCCTTGATAACTGCTAATCTACGAAGGCAAGGATATGGAACTATCTTTCAACCTACACAATACCAAAACAGGGGTCGTCAAATGAGAGCCAGCCGGACTCCAACAACAAGCAGAAAACGTCAAAATGAACAGAAGGCCAGCTATATCAATAGCTATATAGAGGTTCGCAGACCAGGCCCCAAGCACCAAGACCTGTCTCAACAGAGGACCTTGAGCATATACTATGGCTTGGAAGGAATCGTATCCAGCGCCTTGTCTCAATATACAGGTGCGAAGACTCGGGAAATGCTCCCTATCTCTTTCCTCGAATCGGATCGTGGACATTCGGTATCCCGCAGGGCAGTGGCTAGCCTAGCCGCATTTTTTACACCCTCATCTCTTCTTTGACCACGAGTTTGGACCTGGTTTCTATACTACCCCCTCACTCAAATATATCTTGGAATACGATGGCCTAGATGGTGTGATTTTGATTTTCAATATCTTTCGCTCGCAAAACATGATGCAGGGGTTCGAACCGAATCTTCGACTATACATTCAAGCTGGAAGCAACCCAAAGACATCTTGTACATGCTTTCAAAGAGAGCATGAGAAAGACATCAAAGTCGCGTGGCTACTTCCAGAGTTGCCTGATTCTACAATATAGTAACGGCAGCGGCCCAAGAGAAGCTGGTACAGAACTACGAATCTTCCATGGCAACCCCTTCCGAGGAGCGCAGAATCTGTTAATAATGCTGGACCGGAATTGACCGGTCTTGTGGTTCGATCAAGTGATATATGATCGAGCGATTCCTTGAAGCGAACATCGGAGTTGACTAAAAGAACCGAAGAGCACTCTTCCTGATCTTCTGCCACGGACTCTCAAACCACCACCTTCTCCTAGATAATGGTAATGATTGAAGGGTCTGGGTATCCTTACTTTGAAAGGCATCCTTGAGTGCTTGTCGACATTACGCTCGCGTCAACTGTGTTTATTTCGGCCGAGTTATGGGTGAGCCTGCTCCTAGTGAGCCAACGTGAACGAAGTATGCAAGACTGAGCTGAGCCATCGTCAACCGAGGAAATATGAGTGTGCCTGCTGTTACTGAGCCGGCTCTGAATGAATCGGACCTGACTTGGCAGACCAAGACCATGCTGTTCAGAGCCTGCGGACCGGTATTCGTTCACTCGATATGTTTCTTGCGACGCGGGCGGCAGGGAGTCAGGCTCATCCTAGCATCATGGCTTTTCCTTGGAACCACACACATGTTAGTATCAAGACTGACTTACATCACTCCACCCTCAGAATTTGTCTGGGAAATGCTATGTACGTTCTATGTGTTATCCTATCCTTCTAGAAAGTGGCGCCAACTCTTTCCCTTCAAAATAGTTACCCGAAATCATCAGGGTATCGCCGAAAATCCGTCATCTCACCTCTGAGAACAGCTTATTCTATCTTCTTTCGACCGTAAGACACATTGGTTTTCGCGACGAATCAAGTGTCAGCTCTGTGTTGACACCTGGAAACACAATGGTTTCTAACAAAGATGGGGAACCGTATCATACAGAGCAGCCATGAGATGTGTGGTTCAGGGTCCTGCTTGACTTTCCAACTCTCCAAGTAGGACCCAATCACACTATTGGTAGTGAAATACGGAGTACTCCGTATACCAGGTGGATTTTATAGGAAGGCTAGAGCCATGGGCCAACTTCAAGCCGATGTGTTGTCGTCTTGTACTCGCCAAACCCATATTGGAGCCACACAACCATTGATTATGACCATGACTGGCCAGGGTGCAGACAATTCGGTCTTGCGGTCTTGGAAGTGGCTATGCAGAAAATAGAGGAATTGGGGTGGTTGGTGTTGAAGATTGCTTTTGAGGCGATTCTAAATAGACATATCCTACCTTATAAGTTATCCATGATTACAAGCTCAATAACAACACAGCATATCTCCAACACAAGACCCGGTATGGAACCTGGTATGTGCTCATAATCATAAAGCGGCACCCGATCGGGAGATCCCCGACGGCCTAGAATCGAATAGAGCGACAGACAACATATGTTGCGTGGACTAGTACGGAGTAGCCACCCGGCAGTTTGTCGGCGTGGATTGGCTGATGCGGCATATCGAACCTGTCCCGCATTCAAAACGGGTTTTCGCCACCAATCCCCATCATTGATTCTCATGCAAGGCGCAGATCTTTTGCAGGGGCTGTTGGATGCATTCTTTGTTTGCAGTTCGGTCGTGGTGTGGCGGGAAAGTTGGAACCGAGGATAGTGAGTTTAGGTAAGGTTTGGATAGATGCATCGATTCTCGAGGGGTGGTTTCATTGGTTGTTTAGATTGAGATAGCATATCTGATACACGCAATCTATCTACAATAATATGATATACTTTTGAATGCATAGCTAGTAGATAATGTAAACATAAGGAGTACGCTAGTTAAAGGGGAAGTGGACATTGTAGGTACCTGCGGTTGTGGAGGTGCGGAGAATTCCCGTGCGTCTGCATGGACATTGTAGGTAGTATGTCCTGCCTGTAAAGAACATTGGCAGAATTCGACATTTAATGCGATCAGATAAACTAGTTCACTAAGGCAATTGTTCCCTTTCGGGGTGACAATGGCCAGTTCCCATGGTTGACGATCCCGATCCCCTAGGCCCAAGTGGTCGATGTCATGAAAACGGAGATCAGAGCAATGCCCCACTATGTATGTGCTTTCTACAATATATGTACGGAGTACATGCACAGATCGCAGGGGTACCTTCAAGAATGATATCTTGATACGCAGTACGTATTACCGAGACCTACAGCACCTGGGCAGCAATGCTTGTCAGTAATATATACATCCCTTGCTGGATAAGAGATTGGGCGATGATGTACAATATACGACGTACTTTTTGGGTACTTTTAGGTACTTTTGCAATAATATCCCAACTGATCATCATCATAGAGATGTGGATGAGGGCTCCGAAGGATGTCATATGCACGTAGGAGTATACAAGTGTTATATTCTTTCCCCGATGGTACCACTTTTCAGAGGCAACTGCGGCAAGATTGGCTTTGGATATTTATAATTTCCCCCAAACGATAGATCTCAATATATGGTAGCTGACAGTGAGATATACAAAAACAAGGTCTCGGATTTTACATCATCGGTGGCAAACGTTCCTTTTCTCCCCGAGACGCTAATGTGAGCATCCCTTACTAGCGTCATGTACAATACGATACACCGACTCTGATTGATCGTTGTCCCGTCGATTGGGTCCCTGGGGCCCACCGAGAAGTGGAGCCCGGTGGACTTTAAGTGGCCACTCCATATCTTTTTTTTTTCTTTTCCGTTTCTTTTCCTTTTCTATTTGTAACGGCCGCGCTAGAGAGCGCTTTTGGGTCTCGGTGTTTCCGACCGGAGGGTTCGGCTTAAAGCCTTGTCTTTTTTTCCTGGTCAAAACCGACGGACTGGACGTGTTGATGGTGGTTTTGGAATTTGATGTCGTGTGTGTCCATGCTCAATTGGTATACTTGCATAATTAGTTTGTTGTACAACTCCATAAGTTAATAATAACTATATTTTGATCTATCAACAGCGGTGTGTTTCTGGCTCCCCCAGCAACCAACAGGTGACAGATCAAATAATCTCCCTTACCAGTCTCCTCCGTACATATCCCATGCAGTAGGAAGGCTCCGAGTTCAACAAGACCATTATCCACCGTGCAACTACCAATCACTGGATCGGTAGGTCTTATTATTCCTCAAAGCATCGGCTTGTGATTAGCGGGCTCCGATGTAATGCGGGATGGGCTAACCACTAGAGTTGTTGGGTGAACGGAGACGCCAAGGGCCATGGAGCACCAAAATTGGACTTAGTCGGGTCGTAGAACACATGGATGCCCCACCCAGCTGTTTCGGTATGCACTAAGACCGAAGATAGAAGGGAAAGAACTATGGATTCGCATACTAAGGCCCGAAGAGGAATGGGGTGATCCGCACTGCCTGGGGATTGTTCCCTTTTTGCCTGTGCGTGTCGCATGTCGTATGTTGCATTATTCTGGCGTGGATATAGCGGTGAGGCGTGTAGAGTGGTGTTGAAGCTAGGTGGGATATATAGTGCTAAGTACAATATACTCGCGAGTCTACGCTGTAGATAGGCATATGCGCATGTACAAGTACAGACATTCTTAAAGAATCGAAAAGGAAAAAGAAAAACAAGCCCCAGACCAGCCAATCATCGCTAGACTATTTCGGGAGGCTATAATACCGTACGGTAATTTACGCCGCCAATTTTTCTCAATTTTCGCCAATTTCCACTTTTCCCAATTCCTCAGGCCCCCGGTAATTTGCCATACAAACACGCTGTGCCTGTCGCATCTTGATGATCCCCCCCATTTATCCTTCTCATCCCCCTTTCTACTAACATCCCCCATATCTTAGAATCGTTTTTATTATTATCCTTCTTATTACTCTGTTTATTATTATATTCTCTTCGATTATATCCTGTGTTTTATCGTGATTCTTGATTCTTCTGCTCTACTCCCTCACAATGCCGTACAACACTCGTCGCAAGTCACTATCCCTCCCATCCTTGGGAATTCACCTCCCAAATTCCACTCGTCGTTCTCCCTCTATCTCAAAAGTCCACAGCGATGAGCAACCCACAAAAAAAGTCAAGAGATCGCACGGTGCTTCATTATCACCTGAACCCTCCGACAAGATGATGCGCGCTGGCCGACGTGGACTCTTTGAGTTTACACCGCCCCCTTCGCCGATGGATGGAGTGCTTGCGCCCAAGATCGATACAGAAGGAATTAACGACGACATCGTTATCGCTGTAATCAACCAATTAGAGAAGACTGGCAATCGCCCTCATCTGGTGAAAGAATTGGCCGCAGTCCTGGTCACACTAAATGTCAATGTCGCGAAGTATGTATCCACTCTAGGCTTCCTCGAAACACGATCGCTAACATCTCCTCTCCTAGTTCCGCCAATCCCGCTGCGCTGCTCTCGTCGCGCTTAGCTGCCTATATGAAGCGTCCTTGGACCGCCCTCTCGCCATGTCCGATGGCCAAGGAGCTTATTTTAATTCATCCGCGCAAAGTGTACTACTATCTTACTACGTTTCCCCACCAACCCATTCCGGAGACCGACGATCTGGTATCTGCCGTGGGTAGTAAGCACCTCACACCCAGTGTGTCCAGTCTCGAGGATGAGGAAGACGCGATGGTGCGGGAACGTAGCCCCAGTCCCGAAGTGGACTTGTCGTCCCCCGACTTCGAGGAGCATGGTGATTTGAACCCCTCGGCTAGCCATGGCGGTTCTTCTAATCACTTCTCCACCGCTAGTAATTTGACGCGTCTTATGAACTCGCACCGTGCCGCTTCTCCGCCCCTGGAGGGTGACGAGAAGGAATTTACACAAACTGCCAGCGCCGTGCGTGAGCGTGCATCCGAGGAAAAAGCCGAGTCGAGCCGTAGCCAGTCCATCCTGTCCGAGAGCCTGAGCGCCTTGGAGGACCGCGATACGCGCATGTCTGAATCGCCTATGAATGGTGGTTCCATGTCTCCGTCTCTGCCTGGCGACGGTATGTCCGAAGAAGAGTATAGTGACTACTTCTCGCACATGCCCATCGACCAAATGGCCCAGGATCTGGACGAGGCTGCCGCGACTGCCCTGTTTGGCACCTCCCCCTCTCCTTCCCTCACCTCTATCGCATCGTCTGTCTCGTCTGGCACGAGCGCATTGACAGATATGGGTGTGGATGGCGAGGAGCTTGCCGGCGCTCTGGTTGCCCCCCAGATCAGCCTCCCCGAAGATCCCGATGCGGCCCCTGTTTCGTCCCTCAAGCGCTCGCTTGATATGTTGAACAGCGGCCTCCCAGACGTCGACCTGAAGATGTCGGATCTAACGGAATCGCACGAGAGGCTCACCCTTACCCCTCGCGCTATCTCTATGAACTCGGAGCCTGTCTTCGAGTCCTGGAGAGAATTGCAAAACCCGGAGATGGTGGAAGTCGACGAGCTCGACGAGATGTTTGGCGAATTCTAAACTATCCTCGACCTGAGTCCATTTATCCCGTTTATGGTTCCGCTCTTCTCCTTCTCTCCACTCCTAGCCGGGCTGTGTCCCGTCATGTTCTCTTTACCTCTTTTACGTCGCTTGTACATGCTCATTGTTTTCTCGGCGCAACTTTCGGCGCACCCTTTTACTTTTCTTATCGCTAATGCCTATTTTCCTTGTATATATACATTTGTTTTGGACTATCTACCCTGGAAGGGTAGATTGGGAGGATATTCACGACTGGAGGAATGGCTTTACCCAAAAGTGTCAAAAATACTAGCGTTTCTTCTCATAAATTCATCTTTTCTCATCTTCATCCATGGTTGTAGTTGCAAAAGAGACAACGGTTCCTGACTAAGCAGTGCCCAATCAGGAAGGCGGGCAGCCTATCATCCATGGACAGCAGCCTAGAGCCCACCCGTGGGCCGCTTTAACAGAATCCGCCACTCGACTCGGCTTTGTACTGTATTTTCTTTCTTCCGCGGGACATTCGTACCTCGAAAGACGGGTCTCAAATTTCCCTTATACATACATCTCCTTTCCCGACCTCCCATATGCAAATTCAGCCCTATCATCTGTCACAACTTTATATACATAGCGCCGCAGGAACCCAATATCGCCAACCATACTCTCGCCAACGTAAGGACTTCTGCGACAATGACGGCCGGAGAACCTTCGCATACGGACAAAGACGGCGCCGTTCCTCCACGCGAGACGTCCACCAAGCAACCAACAGCGGACATCGCGCCTGCCGGACTACGCCCTCTCTCCATCGCAAATACTATGTCAACAATAGGCGCCAAGAGAACCAATCCGGGCCAGGCTTCCTTGAGCAAGACAATTGCCGCATCACAAACTAAAGTTGCCATTCCGCGTCAACGGGTCGCCGCTGCCCCGCGCTATAATCGGCGTGTGCCGCGTGCTTGTTCGTCTTGCAGGCAGCGCAAGACGAAATGCAGTGGTGATACGCCGATTTGTCGTCAGTGTCGTGAGTTGAGGGCTACGTGTAGCTACCCGGACGGTTGGAGGGAGAAGACGAAAAAGTATGTATAAGTGTATCTGTGGCTACGCGAGCCAGTATGCTGACTAGCTGGTTACAGACAAGTTGAAGCCCTGTCGGAAAAAGCGCAAGAATATGAAAATTTGCTGAAGGAATTGAGGGGTATGGTTGAGTTTAGTGCCGCAGAGCGGATCAGAAGCTTGCTGGACAAGGTTTGTTCTTCTTTTGGGTTATCGGAGTGTTGCTAACACTCGTAACTATAGTATGGTCCGGAGGTGGATGGTTCTTCGCAATCCCAATCCCGATCTCAATCAGCAACCCCGCAAGATGACATTCCAGAAAACGATGAACCATCCTCGCCTTTGTCTATTGGGTCTCTTGAGGCGATTGATCGAGTGGAAGAGGATATCAATCGATCACCACATGCAAGAGCAACTGGTTATATGGGGAAAAACTCGGAAATCACCTGGATGCAACGGCTACAGAGAGAGGCAGACCAACGTGCTCAAGGTCTTCCGGGGAGTTTGGAGTTTGGCCAGGACCCCAAGATTGATAATGCAGTGGCTTTGCATGCGGTCAATTATCATCTTGACGACTTGGATATTTCCGTGCCTGAACCGGTACAGCTGTATGCCATGCCTCCTCGAGAGGTCGCGGATCATATGTTCGAGGCTTATTTAACCACTGTGCATCCGTTCTTTCCCATCATCAACAAACCTCTTTTCTCAGCACAGTACCGGACGTTCTTTGACAGCGCTGCTCGACCCGGTGACAAGTGGCTTGCTATATTGAACATGATATTCGCAATTGGAGCTAAACATGGCCACCTCATCGCCGCACCATGGCGTGGGACCGAGAAGGACCATTTAATATACCTAACTAGAGCCAGGATACTTAGTATGAACGGTGATGACCTGTTCAGCCATCCCGATCTCCAACAAGTCCAAGTGGAGGGCTTGATTGCATTCTACCTTCTCGCTTCTGATCAAATCAACCGGTGGGTTAAGAACTTCCTCTCATTAACTAAATTGAGTCCACCATAACACTTAATAGGGCGTGGAGAATCTCGGCCTTGGCAGTGCGGTCTGCAATCACACTTGGAATCAACATGAAAAGCAGCAGTCCAGCCACACCTGATCTTTCGAAAGAAGCCCGTTACCGAGTCTGGTGGTGTCTGTACACATTTGAGCACCTACTCGGGATAATGACCGGTCGCTCAACTTGTATCCGGGACGGAGTGTGCACCTCGCCATTCCCGATTCCATTTGAAGAAGAACAGCTGCAAATGCCCGAAGCCGTCGAAGTACTCACAGATGCGGCACTACGAGACGAACGGATCAACAACGTCATGGCAAGTTCGCGTATCAGACAAATGCCGCTCCACCCGGTAAATGGTAAAGATGCTAGTCACCACACTCGAGCAAAAAACACTGAATGGGTCAAAAACCTACCTATCAACTACGGGCTCTGTCATCTCTACTATTGCGACTTGACAGTCGTCGTGCAAGAAATCGTCAATAAAGTCTATTCAGTAGACTGCGTCATGGTGCCATGGGCCCAGATCGAGCAACGGATTAGTGAACTCAAGTCCCGAACCGACATCTGGAAATCCAGCCTTCCAACCGGGCTTGACTTTACACGCAAGGATGATAACGGGCCAGATATCCTTCGCTGCAAAATCAGCTTAGCGTTGCATTACTACAGTGCGCGAATCACACTAGGTCGTCCCTGTCTTTGCCGGCGCGACGCGCGCCGAAGGGGCGCGCACCCCTCCTTCAGTCACGAAATGGCAGTGATAACCCTACACTCTGCACGGCACATGCTGGATCTAGTTCCAGATGAGCCAGATGCCATCCAGCTATACCGCATCGCTCCCTGGTGGTGCATCCTCCACTACCTCATGCAAGCAACGACCGTCCTCCTCCTCGAGCTCTCCTTCGGCACTGTCCACATGCCCGAAGAAGAAAACAACTTCGTCGCCCTGTCCAAGAAGGCGATCCGTTGGCTCTTCGCCATGTCCGAGCAGAGCATTGCCTCCCGCCGCGCCTGGCAACTCTGCGACCTCAGCCTCCGCAAACTAGCCCAGGGCATGAAGTACGACGTCAGTGACATGCCTTCCTACCCATACACCCCAGAGCCTAAAAGCACTATCAGCCCGGAGCCGCTAGCTGGCCAGTCTGTATCTCAAGCTGATGGCGACTACTGGGGCCCACAACTAGAACATCTCCCCGTGTCTGTTCCGGAGGGACCGCCTCGCGAAGACCACGACACCTCGACCGCAGAGCTGATGACTTCGTTGACGGCCGATGCCCAGGACTCGTACTTCCCCTATGATCCTATCTCCGGGGAGTTTATGCGCTCTTTCTTTCCTAATTCTAATTCTAATGAGAATGAGAATGATAATTGGGAACTATTTTTAACATATTAACATCCCTATCCCTATCCCTATCCTACTTATTTCTTGTTTCTTCCTTACCGATATTCATCACTTCTTGCATAAGGAACTGCTTGCTCTCTATTAGGAATTAGTGCAGTGAAGCACAGAAGAGAGCGGCAGTTCTTCACGATTGAAACATTTCCGTATGTGATACCCATCTCTTTTTTTCTCCATTTCATAAGCCTTTCTCCCTTTATCTACCGCGAATATCTTTCTGCATTACAGATATTTTCACAATGGGTTGGCAAAAGTGATATCTCATGATTGATATTGATCGGGGCTGTGCCCACTCTAGAGCTGGACTTAGAACGGGGGCTTGAAAGGGTTGAGATTGCCATCAGACTAGAACTTTTGATACTAAATTCATTCACATTCATTTGTCAGCTTATTCATTAATGCAATCAGCACATCGTAGAGTAAATATCCAATCCGAAGAACCGTCCTGGCTCAATGACACAGCCTTCTCAAGTAGTCCAAGTGAGAAAAAAAAATAGTATATACATTCGAGAATAGTTTTTACTTTGAAGATAAAAATACATAGCTAGGACCCATAAGCAAAGAATCAGCCTAGATATTGGGGTTATCATAAGGCCACTTCGGCTCCGGCTCCTCCGCCGGCGGCAAAGACTCCGCCAATTCCTTCGGCCAGTGAGATCTCATGAACGGATCGGATCGGTTGTACTTGATCCGCATCCTGACGGGCCTGCGCGTGGGGGAAGAAAAGACCTTTCGGAGCTGCATGCGGCGCATGTGGCCGGGGATCTCGATGTCGACTTGGTCTTCTGGGAGACCGAATTTCAGGAAGGTCTCGAGACAGAAGTCTAGGATGGACTCGAGCTCGGTTTGGGGCATCTTGCCGGACTTTAATTGATAGGGGTATTCCTTGCGGGAGATGGAGGGTGTATATGAAGCGGCGCGGTCGTAGATGAAGGAGGAGGAGGAGGGGGAGGAGGAAGTGGTGTTATTCGGGTCGGTCTTGGTCTTGGATTTACTGGGACGGCCGTGGGGTTGTTCGTCAGTGGCTTGTTTCACGCACTCTGCATATTCTCGGACGGCACTTCGTGCGAGAATGCGGACAGTGTTGAGGTCTGCTATCGTGGCTTTGCTTCGGACATGGTTGACGTAATCTGCGTCCCAGCCTGGGGAACCGTGTGCATTGGCCCGTTCATCACTGAACAGCAGCCGGGCAACACCACCTGGAGATTGGAGCTGGCGCTTGGGAGATACCCAGTCGACACAGACTTTATCCCAGAGCTGCTTGCCGACGATAGCGCCCTGCGTTTCCACGACGGCAGCGAAGATCTCGTGGAAGGTGGCTGGGGGAATCAAAGTGGCCTTGTGGTGTCCGGTGATTTCCTTGGGTGGCTCCACTTGTTTGAGGATGTCCGGGAGAGGACCTGGGATGAGGGAGAGCACGCGGTGCATACGAGAGAGTGTTCGAAGCTGGAAGTTCCTGACTTTCTCACGAGTAGTATTAGCATGCCAGTCGCCGCGGAAAATGCGGAGCAAAATGTCCGTGGCCTGATTCAGGTCTTCTGTGTCTGCCGGAGTCAAGGACCCGGCGGATGTCCTATGTTTAACGGTGGCATCGAGCCGAATTATTGCACTTGCCAGTACGCCAATATTGACGTAACCCCAAGATTTAGCTCGGTGCTCGGTCAGGAAGTTGAGCATCAGCACCACGCGCTTCCAATCTTTTCGTGTGATACTGAAATTGATCAACGATTTGATGGTGTTCACAGAAAGAGGGATCGCGAGTGACGCGATGACGCGCTCGCCAAGCTCGACGTTAGCAGTGGCAGCTGCAAATCGAAGAATAGATGGAGCCAGGGCCTGGTTCCCATATGCGCGTTGAGGGATAGCAGGGCCATCGATGTCATTTTCCAGGAGTAGTTGCTGGCCAAAATCAAACGCGTGGGTTGTGGTCGCCACGTCAAGGAGATTGGCAAAAGTGGGGCATGACAACTGCGGAATAGACGATTGAGAGATATCATGAGGTTCAAAAGACTTGAAATCAAACAACAGAGAGGCTTCTTCGTCGCTGGCTTGGCTCACCCGTTCAAAAAACCTTTGGATGTGCTGTGCCTTGCTTGCATCGGAAATATTTTGAAGCCAAGCATACTCGTGGAAAAGGCGTCCGCTTTGCTTGTCCCGAGCGTAATAATTGAGATTGAACTCGATTAGGCCAGTCATAGCGGCCGATTCATCATAAAACTGCGCCCGCGTTTTCCCATCCAACACTTGTGCCAAGCTCAACTCGTTCCCTTCCCACGGAGGAACAACATTGTTCTGGGACCTTAGGAGATCCTCGAAGGCAACAGGATCAGAGGACGGTTTTAAACAGCCCGAGGCCAATATCCGTACAATGTGCCAATTGGTGAACCTGTTCGTTGGCCGAAGCTCCTCACGGGTGGACAAGGCAGGATCAATAAGTTTAGTCAGAGGGGCTGATAAATTTGTGAGATCCTCAGGAAGATATCCACGATCTCCCATTCCGACATAGGCCTTGTTCGCCAAGCCGCTCCGCAGTGATGCAACCACCTCAGAGCTGATAGTTCGGAATCCAAGTCCATTGAATGGTTCTTTGTCCTGGCCCTTGAGTATTGGGGGTTTCTCATTTTGGCCTGGCCGACGCCATGATTGCTCGATACTGACATTGGTTTTTTGTACTGTAGCAAGGTCATTTATAAGAGGCGCCCAACTCTCAGCCTTCCATTCGATAAGCCGGGTCATTTGATGTACGAGTAGTGTGCCCGTTCTGCAAAAACCATGCTCCACACAACACCATAGAATGAGCTCAAGCCAAATCTCAGGACCTAGCTCTCGAATTCCCGGTGTGTAAGGAACGAAAGGTGACAGCTTCCCTGCATCAGCGGCTGCAGCAGCCACTGCGACTTCATGTTCATGCCACGCCGCGTCAGACAAAACGCTCATTATGGGACCGGACAAAAAATGGAGCCCTGGTGGGCGGAACACAATCTGGCTGGCATCTGGCTTCGGATATTGATAAACTCTATCGGAGATCATGCCTGCATGGTGTAAACGGGCAAGAGTTCGGTATACGCAGGACATTGCATGCTTTGAATCATCTGACCGACTGCGTGTAGCATACAAAACCAAAGAGCCGAGGTTTGCGAGTACTTCAGCCAGAATTCTCTCCCCAAAGAATCTCGGTGCAGGTTCCACCGTTAGCGTATCAAGAGAAATGTTGTCTGACGGAAGGGGTTCGAGACGAGACCATTTCCAAGGGGATGATGATTTTGTGCCTCCCGTGAGCTTGCTGAGAGAGACCTTCGAGGTAATGGGAGACACCAAGTCGGATGTTGACTCATCTCTGCGGCGCACACGATATGGTCTATTCCAATCAAGCCCAGCCGAAGGGTGCTTAGGAGGCATATGAGCAGCTAACAACTCATAGGTGTCTATCAGGCTATTTAGAAGAGCCTGCACATTAGACCACTCATGGTGTGCAAATCCCAGATGCGCGATGAGTTGAAATTCAAAATGAATCCTTCCATCCCATAGACACCCCAGTAGAGCATGGGTCCGATCAAGCTCATGTTCGGATTCGCGGAGTGGTCGAAGCCGCCTAGGCTGGCCAGCAGGTTGGGCGACGTCTGGTGGTTTGGTAGTTTTTGGTGGAATACAATCCCTCAGCACTGGCATCCATTCCTCGATGTGTCTCTTCTGGTCATGCCGGAGGTGAGGGTGTTTGATTAAATTGTATCGACGTAGAAAAAGAACTTCATCTGGGAAATTAATCTCCCTTTGGTCATTGCGAGTTTTGCGGGTGTATTGTGTCCAAGTCGGTCGGGAGAAAGGAGACACGGATCGATATGGGATAAACGGTAGGCGTGAAGCAGTTGGCCTGCGACCGAATGGCAGGATGCGGCCGGGGCGCAAGCACCTGCTCATGGTACCGCAACGAGGCTTAAAGGCGGGTGTATAGGTTTCGCGATCTCGATGGGTACGGGATTGGCGTGATACATGTCGATTTCACAGGTACATAGCGGTATATTCACGAGATTCAATTGAACCCCATACCAACAGGGGCAAATGACGACCAGAGATGGGAGGTGAGGTAAATGTTGTTTCGAGAATTTTGGAGATCAGGAACTGCTGAGTCATCGCCGAGCTATGAACCAATCGGAGGCCACAGAATGCGGAGTTTTTGACAATATAAGACCCTACATTGGAACTATAAGGGAATTCTCTCCTAGAATATTCAGATCTGGATTAGATGATATGTAGAATCAGTATATTTTCTGCTTAGTGAGCTCTGATTCACGCGATATCCGATGCCTGAGCACCGAGGGCGCGACTGCTACGAATACGGCTATCTAAAGAACGCCATTACTATCAACATCTACCCACATTGTTACTGGTCGAGAGCCTTTATCCACTCCAAAGTTCTTCCCGAAGCTTAGAATTTAGGATTTCCACGGCATATTGGCATGAAAAATATCTCTCAAATTCGATACTGTTTGTGCTGTTTGTGCATGCCCTAAAGTACAATGAAATGTTGCCATGGAGCTTCGATCTAGGTTTCCGGGCCCGTTCCAATCACATGCATACAAGACCATCCGCTAAGGCTAGCTTCTACTTTTCTACTTTTGTGATGGTTATGTTATTTGCTCACAACTTTACCGTTTTACTACTTACTCTACATAGCACTCGGGAAAAGACTCCAAGATAGCAACAATATCTTCTCTATGCTGATCCAGCAGCGACGAGAAACACGGTAATGATCTATCTCACATGCCATGCGAGCGAAACTGCAAAGCACGAAATCTAGTACAACATCTGACGGGCATGATGACGAGCAAAGTCTCCCTGCTCACCAGCAGGAAGGGCAGTCACGGTCGCGATAGGCAGAGTGGTGAAGGAACCGCTAGAGGACTGGCTGCCTGAGAAGCCACCCGGGAATCCAAGGGGGGCACCGGTAGACTCGGGGAATCCAGAAGGCTCGAGGGCAGGGGTACTGGAAGGAGCGCCGGTGGGCTTGGATCCATGACCGTGTCCTTCGTGGCCAGGTCCGTGACCAGCTGCTCGGCGATCAAAGGAAAATCCAGTAGGCCATCCAGTGGGCCATCCAGTCGGGATGTCACTTGGAGTGCCAGTTGGGGTTCCGGATGGAGTTCCGGGTGGGAAACCGCCAGGGAAGCCACCAGGAGGAGAACCGGTAGGAGTAGCAGCGGAGGTCTTGTCGGCGTGCTGGCGAGAATATGTCAATAAAGCACGAGATCTATGAGGATCTATAGTGTAGATACTCACAGGCAACTTCCAGGCTACGACAGACGGGGCCAAGAATAGGGCGGCAATGCCAAAGGTAGCAGTGAATTTCATGATAAAGTGTTGAGTTATTGGACAATTCAAAGTGAAAGTGGAAAATGAATGGATGCTACCGGTAGCAATGTAAAGAAAGACCTGAATTGAGAAGAATGAAGGTGCACAGCACTGTAGTTGAAAAGAAATCACCGAGAACAGGAAGGTCTAGCTGGTTATATACCCCTTGCGTTTCACTGTTGAGAGTCAAAATGATAGATTGAGCCGTTAAAAGGTCATCAAAAGACCGCCAAAAGAGTATGTGTTCCGCGAGAGGAGTGGGATCTGCAGGGGACCAGGTCTCATCCCGTGGCGAAATAATTCAAGCAGGAGTGATCTTCATAGATACAAAAATAACGCTATCACCCGGAGTGTAGCATATTGTAGTGGAACCAGGAACTACGGCACAAATAGTGGATGGAACGCATATTGTGCGGAGCAGGTTGTTTCAGACAAAAAGACCCCGATAAAACGGGCGAATGATAGTTCTCCACCTTGTTCTGCACATCAGCTCCTGTCGATCACTTATGTGTCTGATGAAGGAGGTGTGTCCTGTTTAGATGGAGATTGGTGGAGCCCTAAAGGCGGCAAGCCGGCGAAGGTCTAGAAACATACACTACGCAACATTACCAGAAAGAATCTAACTTGTGGGATTTCTTTTTTCCTGAGCGTATATTGTATGATCGCTCATTTACGGAGAATTAGTGCTGTAATAAGTCTGATGTGAGCATGCCCATAAATCCTCATGTTATGCTTTATTCCTTGTGTCTAGAACAAGTTATATAGTTTAGGTCGTTTTTATAGGACACTTTATAGAGTTAACAAACTAGATTGTGGAGGTACTTAGTTATATACTTATAGTGCCATGCACTGGTCAAAGCTTACATACTACGCGAATAATACCTAACTCCATGTGGTCTAGGGCCTACGCTTCAAGCTTTTGTTGTAACTTATTCAATCCGTTGTGGCAGATGCTCTCAATTCTATGTAAAATTTCCGAAAAGCTGCCCTCGATTTCCAAATCTGGATGTCTTTACCTTTGAATGATCGACTAAGGCGTTAAACCAAGGCAAAACCAACTCGAAAAAGCACTCACAGGTCCGCCATTTACAACTAGAATATGAGGACATGTAAAAAAGAGAAATGTCCAATTCTGGCACTAGAGACAGCCGTCTTTCCAACTCGTAGTTATCTATTCTGCCCCGACTAGCACTGTTAGTCATCCTCCTGTGGCCATTAATTATGGAACCTGACCGACCAAAGCCAACCATATCGGTCCAAAATCCGGTTTCCTCTGTTTCACCTCGAAAATGCTACCGTCAAGGCTAGGTGGATCAAGCCCTTGACCCCTATAAGGGAAATAGCACAGTCCAACAGTGTACATCCGCCACGAGTCCCAAATGACAAGCCCCAGGCGGCGCCAGGGCCTGAAGTGCCTTAAGCCCAATGAACCTGTTTGAGAGACCATCGCGTTTATCATTTGGAAGTACTGGACATGCATTTGTCTTTGTGAACGCCATTCGGGTGTAAGCTACCACCGTGTTGATGTTGTTGCTTCATTATCGGGGGTATAGGCGGCGGAGACCAGATAGACATGGACTCACTAGAGGGCAGATTGAAAGAGTCGAAGAAAGGAATTGGTGTTTTCTCGGGGAATTCCCAGGCAGCGTGGGAGGACTCGGGCCCCTACGTGTCCATTATGAACCACTGAGATCTCACTCCTCGGCGTGGTGCCATAGGAGGGAGTAAGGCCTAGGTCTGAAAGAAGGGCGGCAATCGTCCAGATCAGCTCGTTGTTTCCTCTATGTATCTCATTCCAGACATTGTATGCGTCTAGGTCCTGTATTGATTGTGTATGCCAATTCCAGCTTCCCGTTGCAAGTTTGCGAAGGGCCGAATAGTGTTGGAGATGAAAGAGAGACTAGTACGTGCGGTATTCTTCAATCCATGAGAAGGGATTCCGCGCTTTTTCTGCGCGCTCAGTTCCGCTCAGAGAGCCGACTGGTATTTCACTGAGGGTAGAAGCAAAGTTCTGCTGCATAAGCGGTAGACAAGCACAGGCAAGGCGCTGTATTCCGGCAGCTAGGTGGATGATGCCGATTGATGCCCTGTAATCCAGATTTAGTGTGTACTCGGCCATGTGTGGGAATAGGTTTCCGAAGACGGGCTTCACCGCTGGCACCGAGAGCGCGACTAGAGTTCCAGCGATCTCGGCGCTCTCAACGCACAGCATCGGACTGTAGGCCCAGCTGCCGTCGGAGTCCCATTGACCTGCGGCTACGAGCCAAACGCGGATTGCGGAGATCACGATAACGCTGTGACCTCATATGCTTGTTGGCTGTGGGCAAAATCTGTGTAATGCGAGATATGAACAAGGCTGATGTTGTAGCATATTCTCTGTATCTCCGGAAAACCGGTAATAGGGTTTGCCAGTAAGAGGGAATGTATAATGGAGGGTTGAGCCCGGAAGAGAGCGTGGACTTGAGAGGATACGGATGTGAGGTTTTCTATAGCGGCAAAATCGGCGATATGAATGAGGATTTGTTGGTTCAGTTCTGCGGGTAGTTAAGCGAATGGGTCCATGGTGGATGAAATATTAGCAGTGAAGTGTGTGAAAATGAGAAAGACAAAATTGGGAGGTAGTTCCTTAAGTACTACTCACCTACCCTGTGTTGTCTCCGCCAAGCCCAGGCTAATTCTCAACCACGCACTATAAGGCACTGTAGAACACTTGATATCGTACTTGATTGTTTGAAGACATTAAATTACCAGCGTAAAAGGACCAGCGGGATGAACATGGACAGACCAGTCAACGCTTGTTTGTAACTATACATCTGTTCACACCTTCATTCCCGTCATGCGCCCTTATAATTGCCAATATAAAATAGAAGATGCTTTTCGGCGAAGCCACTCTTGTTTGTGGTCTTAAACACACGCACCTAGGTTGGAACCTTCACTCCCAGCTCGGGTTTGTGCTGGATAAGCATATATGCGACCCCAACCCCGTTGGCAGTCCGCAGAAGTGCCTTGCCTTCATCACTTTCCATGCTGAAGGTCGTGCCTGGCCATTCTTTAGCGACACTCCCCGTGGCCTCATCAATGATCCTCAAGGTATCCGGATTCTGGACATTTTTCCGAATAAAGTACTTAAGATTCTTGATTTTGTTACTCCCCGCGGCCAACTTCTGCCATTGAAGAAAATAGACGTTCGATAGCTTGTATGGCGAGAGCAAGGGGCCGGTGTCGACCTCATGCATGACAACAAGTAGCATGCTACACGTCAGCTGTGACGTGTCAGCCAGCACAACCACCACCGGGGCTAACGTCTGCCACCTGATAGACTGGGATGAGGACCAGGGAGACAGCAGCAAGAACAGACCTAGCGACAATCCCGATCCAAAGCCAACTTCCACCACTTCCAAAATCACCTCAACATCCCCAGCCACTACAATAGCCACAGGCAAACCCGTCCCATCGGGCCTGTCTTCATCCCGCGACGACATCCAACTTGTCATCTTCGATTCCAACAGGATAACAAGCGACGGCTCAACATGGCATTGGGCCGGATACCTCCTCCCCAGCCTTGGCTACGACGACGAGGACGTCTGCAACGAGAAGTACGAAGTCATCTCAGACCCCCACGTCGAAGACAACCAAGCTTGGCCTTTCTCCATGGGCCCCTTTAATGCTCCAGGTTTAGATTACTGCTTCTTCCACAAATTCGCGGACCCCCCCTCCCCCCCCAAGTAACCCGGGCTTTATCTCCTGTAACAACCATGCCTATCTGACGTGGTGCATAGGGCTTGACGGGAAACATGCGGTGAGGAAGCCGGCGCATACATGTACCAGGAATGGCGGAAAGAAGACCGAGTTCTGGCTTCAGGCTTGGTGCAGTTTGAAGGGATAGAAATAGCTAGTTGCCGCCATTATGCAGATGGCCTAGTTTCAGCTAGGGTACCGGACTTTGCATACAAATACCTAGTAAGTGGGAGAAGTAGAAGAATGGAAAATGAGACGAAGGGAGGACGAGCGGCGAAGACGGGGTCTTTTATGTTGAAAGACATATTACAAAAAAGAAAGAAAGAAAGAAAGTAACCCATACCAAAAGAATATATGCAATGCGCGTCCTAAACTGATCCCGGGGTATTGTACATGAAACCAACACAATCAAATTGAAAGCCAAATCGTCAAATCGTCAAATCGTCAAGTGACTTCAAAGCTCCTCCTCAAGAACTTCTTCTTCGCCAAGCTCTTGTTCCACTTCGTCGACGACAAAGCTCTCGTAGTCTTCAAGACCTTTTTGAACATGTACTTTGAAGCGAATCACGTCATTAAGCATCGTTTCGACGTTAGTATGCAACTCCTCTCGGAGGGAATTTGCCCGAAGCGTCAGTTGTTCGTATTCGATATTGGTGTTCATCTCGCGCTGCTCCATCAATTGAACACTGTCGCTGAGCGTAGCGCGCATCTTTGCCAATTCCTTCTCCATTTTCTCAATTTGGGCATCGGAGGCCAGCTTCTGAGTCGTCGTGATTTCTTTTGTTCGTTCAAACTCTTCCTCTGCTGCCCGGCGTCGATGCTCCAAAGCCTCGACCTCGCTCCGTTTCTCATCCATTGCCTCTTTAATGTTGTCGAGTAGATTGCGACGGTCAAGGTCATCATCGATCCCTTGCTTCCGTCGTTCATTGATCTCTTTCCGGAGGGATTGCAGGCTGTTTCGGACAGAGCCTCGTAGATCCAAATTGAGCAAATGCGCCGGGTGGTAGCCAGTGAAAGGCTCCGCCAATAAGCGATCCCCCTCGGGAGAGATTGGGTTGGCAGGGCCACCAATTTGGCTCACAGAGAAATTGCTCTCATTAATATTCAGGGTAAGCTCATAATCTTGGCCCTTGGCGTTCTCAGCAGCTGCGGGAATCAAGCTAGTCTGGTAGCCAAGAGTATTATAAGCCTTCACGATCTGTTCCAGATCTTCCAGTTTCTGGCTAGCTTCCGCCTCCTTCTCCATGACACGGACATGGGCCTCTTCGAGGCGAGCTACGGTATCTTCGAGATTCTTCTGTAGACGTTCTCGCTCCGAGTTCATGCGGTCGATATCCTGAATAGTGATGCCTTGGCGATCAACACTTGCCTGTAGTTCGGAACGCTCAGATTCAGTGGCCTGGAGATCGGTATCAGTTTTCTCGATCTCCGTGTCGAGGAATTTGATGCGAGTCTCGTATTTTTCGATTTTGCCTTTGACGTTTTGATTATAATCCTCAAATTTCCTCTTGTCATCCTCCAAGATACGGAAGTGTTTATCCAACTTGGCAATGTCGGGAGCACTCTTCTCCACTTCTTCAATTTGATCACGAAGAGCCCGGTTCTCCGCCTCTAGTGCCTCCAGTTCCTGCACGTACCGTTCGTTGCCAAGAGCAAATTCTCGCGACATGTTTTCAACGTGCGGGATTAACCGCTTCTCGGCGGTGTCATCATCCTCGTCTTCACCACCCTGTAGCCAATCGTGATATGCTTGAGTGAGGAACCGGAAAATAATGCGATCACCGGTGACATCGACACCCGCCTCGGCGCAGGCATCATCATACTCGCCTGACTGATAGCGATCCATCATCTGTGCCAATTGCATCAACCAATGTAGCATTCCGAGGAAGGTCGACCAGTTCTGGCCACCAACGGCTGCGATTTGTGACTTCGTAATGCCTTTCTCATATGGGTATCTTAGCTGTTTTAGGATTGGCGGTACTTCGGAGTCCATCGCTTTCTGAAACTTGTATCCTGGATCGATCCGATGATATAGCCACTGGAAGATAAGGTTGAAATCCTTCTGGGTCGGTGAGCGAAGAGTGTTCTGGCCCAAGGAATGTTTCATTTCCAACTCAAAGCCATGAATAGTCAAATACTCCAACAATTCCTGGCCAATCCGTGCCTGGAAAGATCGGTCTCTGAGAGGGCGCGGGTCTCTGGGAACCCCAGCCACGTTGGGAACTTGAGTGAAGAACGATTGATGTCCCATCGGCCCTCCTCCCGTGGATGGTCGCGAAAACACACTACTTCTGCGCTGTGGGTTTTGAGGCGGTGCAGGAATGGAGGAAAGAGACCCTGGCGCGTAGCTCTGCCGACTGGCACTGGCTCCATTGAACATGTTACTCGACACTGATCGGCGAACAGATGAGAGACCGGCATCAGCGCCATATGGTCCACCAATTGACATGCGTGTAAAATTTGGCTGCTGTGGGCGACTGGTGGAGCCCATCAATGAACTTCGGTGGTTCTGAGAGCTGAACGGGGGGTTTTGGAATCCGATAGAGCTTGCGCGCTTCAGTGCCGATTGCGGTTGAGGGATGGCGGAGAAATTTTGAACACTCCCGAGAGTCTTGATCGCAATATAAATTAGCCTCAAGTCTTGCGCTAGATAGGGGGGATCTATACCTCTCGGGGGCGCTTAATACTGAAAAGCCCAGTATCTTGCGACATGGTGATAAACAAGCCGCGAAGGCGGCAATAAACAAGGCGATTCTTTTGACAAGTGTTTTTTTTTTTTGGATTTTGTTGAATATTGACAAATATCCAACGTCCAAGTGGATTCACCACAAAATCCAAGAGGAGGGGTTTAATCTGTTGTTTGGCAGGCACGAGGCGGGATTTGGGCCGGCGATGTAAACAAATGCATGCCGCTTCTAAATGAAGTAGGCGGTGTGTGGACACAGGAAAAACAGTTTAGCCGATGATCACGAGACTCCCGTCTGGGGAAGTCTTGGCGTTGGCGCGAGTTCCGAGGTCCAAATGGCGATTGCCGATGTGAGCGTCGCATCTCTCCCTAATTCATCTTTTCTGCACTTGACTGGCAGTCTATATCATTCATAATGGCTCCACGCGAGGAGCTGATTGCCTCAGCTGTAAGTTGTCTAGTGACACAATGTCTATTACCATCGTTCGGGGCCACAGCTAACTCATGCGTCCGCTAGATTACCTGTATGGGCTACGAGGCACACAACTTGATGTGTAATGATAGCTGACTTTATCTAGTCCTCCAGGATCCGTCCGTTGCATCCTCACCCATTGAAAAAAGAGTCTCATTTCTCCAATCTAAGAACTTGACTCAAGAGGAAGTGAACATCGCCTTATCGCGAGTGGGCGAAGACCCGTCTGCCGTGGCTGCAGCTACAGCTTCGGCATCGTCCCCGGCGCCTAGCTACTCTTCACAGCCAGTTCCTTACCGGCAACCACAGCCTCCCCAAGGATATGGCTATCCTCCATATAATCAATGGCAGCCGCCTCCTGAGTACGTTTGACTATCGATTGTCGCATGGTGTTCGAGACTAATCACATGAAAAGGCCACCCAAGAGAGATTGGCGTGACTGGTTTATTATGGCAACAGTGGTGGGTGGGGTTGGTTACGGGTTGTATACTGTCACAAAGGTATCCAGTGGTCCCCTCTCTTAAATTAATGGCGCTGATCAATCTATCCAGCGATATATCGCACCCTTGATCGCCCCACCGACTCCTCCGCAGTTGGAACAAGATAAAGAAAACATTGACGAGCAGTTCTCACGTGCATTTACTCTGATCGAACAATTATCCACCGACACTGCTGCATTGAAGACCGCCGAGGAAGCCCGTACCGAGCGCTTGGATAGGGCTCTCAAGGACGTAGAGAGTCTCGTTGCTGATCTGAAGAACTCATCTCGCCGAAGAGATGATGAGACTCGTCGCATTAGTGACGAGGTGAAGTCATTGAAGGATGCCATTCCCAAGGCCCTTGAGGGTGCCCGGGAAGGCAATGAGAACCGACTGAAGGAGCTCGGAACCGAGCTCAAGAGCTTGAAGACCCTTCTGGGCAACCGACTTGGTGGTGGCGGAGCTACTCCTGTTGCTGGCAGGACCCTTGGGTCTACTCCATTCCCTAGCACTCGCCCGGCACCGGAAGAGACCCCCGCCACTTCCACTCCTGCTGCCACCAACGGTTTGGCTGCTACTGTGACTCCAGCCGAACAGGAGCCAACTCAGGCAGCTGCCCCAGCAAGCACAATCCAGAGCCCCAACCCCCTCTCGCAGCTTGGTCGGTCTGCCGCCTCCATCCCGGCATGGCAAATGGCTGCGGCCAACCGGTCTAAGGCCACTTCGCACTCGAGTGCACCTGCCACACCTGCTGAAAACACCGCTAGCCCGAGCCTGGAGCAGAGCGCTCCTACTAGTTAAAGTTGAACTGGGTTTGCTAAATTATTGAATGCTGTATACCTCTCGACCTAGTGTATTTATCACAATGAAGGGTTTCCCTTGCATGAGAAGGTCGCTCCGTAGTATAGCATTTTCTATTCCAATATGAATTTGTAGTCGAAATCAACGAGATTGGGATGAAGAACCTTGGAATGCGCTAGAATCGAAAACCCGGGGACTGGCCGAACCGATAAGGCGACCGTCTTATCACCCCAGACGATAATCTCCTCCAAACTTTCCAGAAACTCTCAACTTCAGAAGAAACAGCCAAAATGCCTTCGCCAACTCGCTCATCGCACCGAGCTACCTCTCCTTCTGCACCAAGCTCAAGCCGCCATCACCGCAGCCGCCACAGCCATTCCCACCGCCACCGGCATCGCGAGAGCTCGCGCTCGCGCTCTCCGCACCGATCAGACAGACACCGATCAGACCGTCACCACCGCCATAGCGAAGACAAAGACCGCAGGCACCATGAGCGACGACACAGAGATGCTCCAGCGAAACCAGTCGTGCTTCCTTACCAAGCGCGTGCGCTATCAGGGCGCGACCTGAAGGTTTATGAACCCATGTTTGGCATGTACTTGGATATCCAAAAAGGAAAATATATCGAAGACTTGAGTGAAGATGAAGTGAAAGGGCGGTGGAAGAGTTTTACGCAAAAATGGTAGGCCGAAGGTATTCTTTGCTTGGCGCGATGATTACTGACATCGCAGGAATCGTGGAGAGCTCGCAGAAGGATGGTATGATCCCGTTACACTAGACAAAGCACGTCAGCATGCAGAGGAGGAACCGACAGCTGGCCCAAGAGGCGGACGCGAATCGCCCGATTATACGCAGGGCCAGCGAGCGACTGGTGAAACCCTACAGGATCCGCCAATAGGCGATGACGATGATGAGGAGGATGGGGATGACGAGTACGGGCCTAGTCTGCCAAAAGCTGGCTCAGGGAGAGGTGGCCCCCGAGCGGGCCCTGCAATCCCAACTATGCAAGATCTCGAGCTCAAAAGAGGTACGCTTTTCTACTTCCCCTAAATATGGCCAGTGTGCTGACCTCCAACCAGAATCTGCTATTCAGAATGCCATCGCTGCCCGCGGAGAGTCACGCGATCAATACCGTGCTGAAATCCGTACACATAAATCTACGATGCGCCAGATCGAAGATGAAATTGCACCGCGGGCTGAGCCAGGCACACGGGAGAGACAGCTCGAGAAGCGACGAGAACTTGCTTCGAGTAATCGTGCATTCGCGGACGCGCGTGGTGGTTCGCCCGAAGGAGCTCCTGATGAAGACTTAATGGGCGCAGGCAATGATTTCTCTGCCTTGAAAAAGGAGAAGGAGAAAGACCAACGTAAAAAGAACGATCGTGAGATCCGGAGAGAGGAGATCCTTCGTGCGCGTACAGCGGAGCGAGAAGAGCGTGCCCAAGCGTATCGACAAAAGGAGCAAGAGACGATGGGCTTCTTGCAAGCTCTGGCAAAGCAGCGATTTGGTTGAAGATAAGAAATGTCGTATGCACATGCGCCTTTGATCTTAATATCCTATAGTCTTCACTCTTAGGTCCATAAAGCAATAATAAATACGATTTGCATGCCATACTCTCTCAGTCGTCCGCTCCAGCGGAACGGTCCGACACCGCCGTCGGAGTGACTCCGAGGTATCTAGGCCATATATGATCTTCCCTGGACAATACCCAGACTACTATAAACCCAGCATGTTCAAACAACTATATCGCCTACCATGCCGGTCAACATTGACACCATTAGCACCCGGTAGCCGGCGGTATTTCCAGACCAAAAGGCAAAACTCCCTACCAGCCGCATACTACCGCGGCGGCACCTCACGCGCAGTCTTCTTCAAGCAAGAAGACCTACCCCCGAACAAGGAAGACTGGGCTCCCATATTCCGCAGTGTCATCGGCAGTCCAGATCCCAATGGCCGACAGCTAGACGGATTGGGGGGTGGAATATCCAGCCTCTCAAAGGTATGCGTAGTCGGCGCATCGACACACGACGAAGCCGATGTCGATTACACCTTCGTCTCACTCGGTATCAAAAACACCGACGTCGACTACTCCAGTAATTGCGGGAACATGAGTTCCGCCGTCGGCCCCTTCGCCGTCGATGCACATCTGTTCCCATTACAAAATCCCAGCTCGGATTCAGCCTCGGTACGCATCCACAACACCAACACCGGCAAGATCATTCATTCGTCCTTCCCCGTTGTCGACGGCGAGGCTACCGCGAGCGGTGATTTTGCTATAGACGGTGTCGCTGGTACAGCTGCCCGCATCAAGCTCGACTTCATCGACCCCGCCGGCTCGGTCACGGGGAAACTCCTGCCTACCGGAAACGTCGTCGATACCTTTGACGCTACCAAAGCTACGTGCATCGACGTCGGGAATCCGTGTGTCTTCGTGCAGGCGCTCGATCTCGGCGTGAGTGGGAATTTGACTCCTGATGAGATCACTGCTCATCCGGATTTGTTGCCGCGCTTGGACTCCATTCGTCGGCAGGCGGGCGTTAAGATGGGTATTGCGGATGAGACTGCGGCAGTTCCCGGTAGTATTCCTAAGATCTGTATCGTGGCTGCTCCTTCTACTACCGATTCTAGAGATATCGAGCGGAGGCAGACGTCTGTTGATGTTGATCTTCTGGCTCGTGCGCTTTCTGTTGGACAGCCGCATAAGGCGGTCCCGATTACTGTCGCGTTGGCTCTTGCTGCTGCTGTTCATGTGCCGCAGAGTACAGTGGCTGGCGTTGTGAGTGAGGATCCTGTCGATAGCGCTGGGCTTACTATTGGTCATGCCAGTGGGAATCTGTTGGTTGGTGCCAACTTCGATGCAGATGGCGCGTTAACTTCTGCCACGGTCTTTCGTACAGCACGTCGTTTGTTCGAGGGACGTATTTACTGGAAGAACGATAACTGAGCGGGTGAATGATGTTCGATTGTACAATATAATTGGCAGGAAGAGTACATGCACACATGTATAACCGGCTGAAACAACTGAAAAGAAAGACCTGATCATATGAGATATGCAAATAAAAACTTTTATTCTTGTGCTTCACAAGTGGTATATCTATATCATGATCTATCCCCAGCTTTAAGCATGTCTGCCGAGATCAATATCAGCAACCAGCTTCATATCATCAGTACCAGCCCCGTCACCCAGCCCAAAGAACGGCTTGACAGCAACATCAACCACCTCCTCAAACAAACGCCCAATAACAGCCTCCTTCAGATCCTCACCAGTCTGCGCGAAATCCGGGTACGCGTTGAGCTCCAGCAGCCACACATTCCCAAGAGCGTCAACGAGGAAATCAACACCAAACAGCTCAAACGCATTGGGCAGAGTCTGGAAATGAACCATCATACCGCGGGCCGCAGCCTCAAACACCTCACCGGTCACCGAGCAGATCTGATCAAAGATCTTCTCCTTCCAGTCTGCACTGAAACCGGGGACGTGGTGGTCGAGATCCCAGAAGCGGCGCACACTATCCTTGTTCGAGCTGCCGCCTTCCTGGAAACAGGTGTTGGTCAGATGGCGCGCGAGGTCGGCGACGTCGTACTCTTCATGCGGAGCGCAGTAGCCCTTCGCAGCGAAGAGCGCGAGCATCTCCTTGAAGACGTAGACTTTGAGTGATCCCGAGGCGAGGACATAGGTGCGGATGTGGAATTTACGGTTTGAGGATGACGGGAGGAGGAGAGGTGGGTCAATATAGGGCTGTACGAGGAAGTGGCGGAGCTGCGAAGTGACGATCCCTGTGTCTAGGGCGGCGCTGCCGTCATTCGCGTCGTCGCCATTTCTCTCGGATCCGCTCTCGTCGTCTGAGTCTTCTTCCCACTCCTCGAAGATCTCGCGTAGCTGGTCTTCGCTGTTGAAGATGCGGATTCCCTGGCCTCGATCGCTCATGCCGGGCTTGAGGATCCACCATTCCTTTTCGGAGTCAGGTCGATCTTCGTTCTTAGCTAAGCTGTCGTTCAACTCGAATGCTTCTAGCAGGGCGTCGTCGAGGAATTCGGCATAATCGAGTTCGAAGTCGAAGGCGGGCTTGAAGTGGTGTCGAAGAGCGCTCTCTGGGTGTTTCGAGATCCAATTGGCCACTGTGTTTGAGAGATAGTGCTTGCGAATTAAAGCTTTCCGGATGATGTACGCGCTTGAAAGAGACGTCGAGGGCCTGGACATGATATGCTCGAAATCGAGGCGCTCATATTCCCGGTACTGGAAAAATGGCGCAGATGAGTCCGGCAGCTCGGACACAGAAGACACACGCTTGAAGGCACTTCCCAGGCGACATGTTAATGCCCGTTCAACCATTTCTTGCACGTAGGAGTTATCGCAGTCGACGAGGGAGTACAACGAGGGCGGATTAGCCGATCTACAAGATCTCCGTCTATCAGAAAGGGTGCCAATACTTAAAGAAAATCAAATCAAAGGGGAGGGGATATAGTATCTAACAGCTAAGCCAGATATCTAAGGTGGGTGCAACATATAGATTTCGGATAGAACCCTCCATACCATGCATGGCGTCAAAGTCGTCACTCACAGCTTAATCTCCCCCGAAATACCGGGCGCGGGCATGAAATTGGCCCTGAGGGGCGTGACGCTGTAAAAGTCAGTCGATGTCCAAAAGTAAGAGGGCATTGAACAAACCTAGTCATTTGCTCCTTAACAGTCCAGCCATCATTGCCAGGCTCACTTTCCTCCACACTTCGGTAAACATCCTGGAAACTCGGTGCCCACTTGAAATGCTTGTGCTGAATTCCGGATGGCTTCTGGCTGTTACCGACAATCTGATCTGGTTGCTTTCCTGCCATTTCGCCTTCGTTGCGTAGTTGCTCTTCTTGCAAATCAGGGTCGTCTGCGGGTGTGGGGTCGACAGCCTGGAAGCAACTCCCGGATGTCCACGTGTTCTGCAGCATGTCGGTATATAAGACCTTGTTCTTACTAACGCCGGGTTCGAGGGGAACATTGACGCTATAGAGGTGCACCCCATCTGCCCAGTTCGCGCAAAGATGCTCAATCAACTTGACTGAATGGCCCGCGGCCTCTGCGATGATAACAGGGTCATGGTTTCGAGAGCTGAAAGCATACGACAGAGCAATTGAGCGCTTGCCACAGCAGGCACCTTCCAACGCTGCGCCAATGGTTCCGCTCGACAATGCGAATAATGCCGTTGTGTTGCGACCATAGTTCGGACCGGAGACAATCACATCGACAGGGCCACGTTCTTTGAAGTAGTGGTATAGGCCGATCTGGACACAGCTCGCGGGAGTTGAGTCGATCAAAATCCACTCTTCGCCTTCGTCGTGTTCACCATCACTGCCACGGGGCAGGTTGTGTGTTGTCCCGTCTTCTTGATGGAGCGTGCCGGGCCGGAAGTAGGTAGGTTTGACAGAGGCGCCTACCATGTGCGCTTTACCTATCCATGATCGTTGCTGGTGTGGTAGAATGACCGAGACCGTATGACCTGCGGACTGGAGCGAGCGGACAAGCGAATGCACGTACGGCGATGACTGGTTTGACGGAGGACCGTCGTCGTTGGTGACCTAGATAGAGATAAGTCTTCAAGCTGACATTGCAGTATCTATATCTGCTTACCAGGATATGCATTTGGGGTGAAGTGGTTGAGATGTGAAGGATGGAAGGGAAGAAAGTTCCCCCCCGCTTTGCGTTGTCGCAATCGGCCCAGATGATCCACAATGTCATTCCCACTATCATAAGACATTACAACATATAGTACCATTCAGCTCAGCTAGGCCAATGAAAACACATCATTGTGATTGTGTCAAATGACTGCGCCGTCTCTGTACTCCACGAGCTTCTGCGCTTTCTAGTCCAGAGCCTGTACCAGCTTCATCAACCTCAGCCGGATAGCTTGAGAGCAACCTCCTCTCCTGCTCGGGCTCTTCCTTTTTGACATCGGAAGATTCATCAGAAGTATTCCCGTCCTCGGACTCTTCTTTGATAGAGTCCTGCGGCTCCTCCTTGATCTCATTCTTAGGCATAGTCCCCCAAATCCAAGTCATGGCCAGCCACGTCAAGCCAGCAGAGACAATAGAGACCGACCAGAACAAAGAGCTGAAAACAACAAAAGACGTAATCTTCCAATAATACATAATCCATCTATCATCTGTTAGCCATATCCCACAAACCACCTAATCCCCAAGAAGACCTACCTAAGCCCTGTAAGCCTAGCACGGAACTCCACCCGGGCAGTGTAAATCTGCATGTCCGAGTAACTTTGGATCTCCAGCCTCAGACTCTGCGGCAAGTTCTGCGCCCCCTTCGCAAACTCAAGCTGCTCCATCATCGGCACCTCCAGTGTCTCCGACTCCCGGCGCCAGCCAACAACATAGAGCGGCATACGCGCCACTCTCCGGGCAACATCTACCAGCGGCGAAGCATAAGTCATGATAGCAGGGCGGCGGGCCTGCGAGATCGGGGCGCTATTCGGGCCGAGTAAGAGGGATGAGGCGGGGCGGGATGAGAAGAGGGTGAGGTCGAGCATGAAGTTGCCTGTATCGAGGTTTGAGGGTGTGCGTGGGAGCTCGAGCGTCACGGATACGTCGTAGGGCTGAAGAGCCACAAATTCCGAGTCAAAGGTTGCTGTACCCCAGGGGTTGCCATCGCTTGCACAAGTTAGTTGAGCTGGGTGTCTTTGTGGGGAATGTTGTTATACCCAAATTGTAGATGGACTTCGCGTTGTAGTCCGACCGTGGGAATGAATTTAAAATAAAAAACCCCGTAGGCAATTGCGGAGATGCCTATTAGGAATGATGCGGCGCCCATGAACAACAGCGTGTTCAGGTATAGCCGTAAGGCGGACTTGGATACCAGCGCGCGGAACGGCGCGAGGATCGCCTCCTGTCTTGTGTCAGTTGCAGCTGAGAAATATGCATCAATACACCCACCATGATGATTTCCCTGACAGAAGATGGGCCATATTCGGACTCGTCTCCAAATTCTGAGTCCGCCATTGTAGGAGTAGTTGGCAGAAACAACATTCCGAAATTGGAAGTTGAGGTCATCCTGTTATCTCCGTTATCTACACCGAGGTCTGCGTCCAAGCTTCATATATGCCTACGATAATATTTACCAACTCCTAGCCCTTTATTTAGTAATTGTCCAGTGATGGCATGTCTGACAGAGCTAAACATCCACTGGTTACCGCATATTTACAGTAGAGAAGTTCTATTTCTTCATTGTGCTGTCAATAAAGTTGTATACCTACATTTGTATATAAACGAGACCTTCGGGGCTCATGTAGGGATACCTAGATTAAGTCTAGAGCGGAGTGCTAGTTTGACGATAAGCGACAAAAGAAGATGTGGTTCATTATACTAGAAAACGCCATACGGAAGGCCCAAAAAGAAGCTACAATGATCATAAGAATAGTAAATTAGCATCGCCCCATGCAGATAATGAAGACACCGCCAACTCCAGCTTTTACAGTCTTAATCATTACAGGTCGCGGGCAGCATGAGACGCGAAAAATATCATGGAACCTCAAGTCATGCGAAAATCGTAAGAGAAAAATAAATATGCATGCCATCACCACGGCTAACCCCTGCCGTAACATGAAACTGAAAGGATAGAATGGCAAAAAACGCAAAAGAGCAATTGCGGAAGAGAACCCGTGAAAATTACATGCAACAAAGTACTCCTGTGCCGCCCGAGTTATCAGAAAGAACTTGAGGAGAGACATGAATGGAGAGGATGAGGAGGAGAAGCCAGGAGGGGCTTAGGCGATGGGCCGAGGGCTCTGTTGTTGGATATGTTGGAGAAGAGCGTCGAAAAGACGACCGATCTAGAGAGTTATTTAGTATCGCGACACTGTGGAAGATTGGTGGTAAGCTTACCTCAGGTGCCGCCTGAATGAAGGGGAGGCGGAAGAATGAGTAGCTCCGGTTCTGGAGGAGCTCCTGCAGGGTGATGATCAGACCCCATGGATGCGGGCGGTGCACAATCAGTCGCTCCAACAACACGCGAATGATTTGTTGGCGGATATCCGAGTCATCTTGCTCAGAGTAATCCACACCAAACAGACGGAGAATAGTGAAGCTGAAGAAGTAGGTGTGGCTGTTGGGGTAGCGGAGCTGGTTGGCCATTGCACTGAGTAAGTAGTAGCGACTTTCAGGACGCAGAACTTGGGCGATCTTCTCCAGAAGAGCAGCGTGAGTCGAGTTCTCAAAGGCGCTGCGGGTATTGCCCTTGGAGGCATGCTCCACTGCAGCTTGTTGGCCAATATACAAAACAAGCGCGTTGACTAGGACGACATCCACGTCGACGGGGACAAAGAGGAGGCCAGTTTCCTTGAATTCGGGGTTAAGAATGGCGTCACAGAGCTGCTGAACAGCAGAATCGGAGATGTTGTCATTCTGGAGTACATCATCAACAACGTCCTTGATGTTGGCAAGCTGCAAAGGAGCAACGATATCACCGGCGATCTTGGGAATTTCCCGCATCTCCTCGATACGCTCGACCTTCAATCCTTCGCGGAAAGGATCGGGAAGTTTCTGGAACGACGAGGGGTAGGCACTGAGAACAAGATTGCGGAGCTGAGCGCAATGAGCCGGGATCACATTGCAGAACTGGAAATGGTTCTCAGCCACGAACTCGGGGAAATCGTGGTGCAGAATCAGCAAGATACGGAGAACGCCCTTGTATAGGTCTTTGGCAACGTAAATAATGTTGGCAGCCTTTAATTGCTCGCCCATGTAGGATAGCAATGCTTGGATGATCTCGCAGTAAGGCGCCCATCCTGCACGATCAGGCATGTTGAGCATGTCAGACATGAACACGCGGTGAGAGACTAAGCAAAGCCAGCCATAAACGAACCCGGGCACGTAACGGGGCTGGAAGGAGAGGAATTTGTTGGCCAAGGCGAAGATCATTCCCTGGTGCTGCTCAGTGTGCTGGAGGCCGTTCATAGAGTACTCGCACAGAATACTCGAGAAGAGACGGAAGAATACACGCTGGTTGAAAGCTTCTCCTCTCATGACCTGGTGGTGATTGAGGACCAGAACCAAGAGAGACAGAATAGAGTTGAAGTACGTAGCCTTACTAGCTTTGACGGCGCCAGCGGTCTCGCCCTGGAATCTGACGAGAAGAATCACGAGCTTAGCGAGGGCATCGATGTAAAGGAAGGCCTCATCAAGGCTGCCGCCGTTGGGGTTCTGAGACTCATGCTCAAACATGGCGACGGAAATGTCGATGCTGAGACGGAAAAATAGTGCTGAGTCCTCCTGGCTGTTCATCACTTGGCGGTTGTGGAGGTCCTGCAGGAAAGAGTGGAAGGTGCGGTCAGTGGCACCGGGGGCCTTGTAAATACCGATCCACTCGCTGAAGATGTACTCCATTTGGTCTCGCTTGGACCTAGCTTGGTCTGTAAGGAGAGAGTTGATGACCTCGGGAATACCGGACTCGCGCAGCTTTCGCACGATTTCGAGACCGGGAGTAACGCTTCCATCCTCAGCAAGCCATTGGCTCATAGCATCTAGACTGCCGGAGAAGTCTGATCGAAGTGCCGATGGTTCTTCGTTGAAAAGAACGCGATCCATCAGGTTGCCCAGCAACTCCAAAGCAGGAACATTCCTAGATAGAATGAGTCGGGTCAGGTTCGTATCGACCCGACGGATGTCTAGGAGGCCTGCGTCGATGAGAGCAACGGTGACCGGCACATTGAACATGTGCTCATCATCAACTTCGGAAAGCAGTGCCCACGTGTACCGGGCAATGAGACTGGACATATCGCATAGCTTGGCAAGCAGGTGCACGAGGACCTCAATCTCGAGGGATCCATGTGGCTGGGAATACAAAAGGGTGCAAACCTTCAAAGAGGTTAGTCGCGCCAACTCCTCTCCATTCGTCGAGGCAAGGATGCTGCGCAGTGCCTGGTTGTATTCTTGAAGAACTGCACTATCTCTGCCAAGATCCTTGACGTGTTCTTCAGGGGCGCTGCGAGCAGACTGCTGGAGATCGGAGACGAGGCTTTCCACTCTTTCCCGGGGGCTTTGAGCATCAAGGAACCCATTAGTCTGGACTGGGGGCATTTGAGAAACAGCAGGCTGTGTCTGGGGAGTTCTGTGAGGAATGGCTGGCTGCTCAGCCGGGGTAGAAAGGTTTGGAATAGCAGGATAGGATTCTCCAAGCACGTCGGGGAGTTGACGGCCGGCCGATGCATCAGTGGATGGCGCCGGGCCTCGGGATTGACGGGCAAACTCTTCGTAGATGGCGAGTTGCTCCTTGTTGAGACCCCCAGGCGTTTGCCGGTAAGGCTCCGGAATGAACAATCCCCAACGGTTCATTGAAGGATCAATGAAAGGATCGTTAGAACGACTGGCCAGATGGCGACGACGAGCCTCCAATTGAGGCTCAATCACCTTCTCGATCTCGGGCAGGGACTTTTCCTCTGCAGCTTTCTCGACAATGCCACAGGCAGCATCCAAGTTATCGTTGACACACATCAGAATCAAGCCTTCGGGCATAGGCTGCTCGGAGTACTCTTGCTGAATCATGCGGATATAGTTAGTCATGCTAACCTTCAGAGGCTCTTTGCAGGTGACGAGTGCCAGGCTACCAGCAAGTTGTCGGACCATGATGCCCGCGGCGTGGCGCACGCGTTCCTCATCGGGTTCCATGGCAAAGTCCTTGGAGACAAGTTGTACGGTGGAGATGGATGCGATGGTCACAGAACGCTCGACTACGGGGGTAATGATCTCGGCAATGGCGCGCTCGACTGCAGTATGCACAATCTGTTTAAGAATTGTAGGATCGACCATGCTGCTCGCCGATGAGGGCAGGACAAGGATCTTGTCAAGACTTGGCAGTGTTGACATGATGGCGGCGGGGGACAATCTCTCATTCCGGATGGCTGGGTTAATAGCGCTGAGTGACAAGTCTTCAAATGGCTCAAGACCTTCCGGAGCGTTAACAGTTGACAGTTGTTCCTCGGCATGTGCAGCACGATCGCGAATGACGATTGCCGGCTCAATTGTCTTGTGGTCGAGATCAAGATCTTTACAGAGAACTTCGATTTCAAACTTGAGATTGAGCTTCAGTTCGGCGAAATGATAAAGCTCCAACAGCAGGCCCAAAATATCCATCAGCCAGGGGTTGGGTGGTTTGAAGACTGTGGATTTGGTAGCCTGCACAAGAACTTTGCAGGTGAAGGGGATTGTAACCATGAGGCGTTGAGTGTCGTATCCTTCGAGGAGCAAGCCCTTGAAGTAGATGTTCTTATGCTTAATAGGTTTGTCTTTGGCAATAGTCAGTGAGCCAAGCCAAGCACCAAGGTTCTTCAGGTGGCCGCGATCGGTAGACGAGGTTAAGGTGCCTTCTGAGTTAATCAACTTAGCGACACTAACATAGGTCTCCCGTAGGACCTCAGCCCAGAGGATCTTGTCACCAATGCGCCCAAGAAGATCAAGATAGAGCTGCTGGAAATTAGGCTGCAACTTGGCACGTTCTTCCACCAGGTATGCGGCGAACCACTGGTGGTGCTGGTCACGCAACACTTCTCGTAGATCTTCAAGTTTCTCGTCAATGTTCTGCTCGGAAACATTGTTAAGGACGAAAAGAATCTTGTCTTGAATGTCTTCATCCGGTTCTTCGTAGAGCTCAGATCGAAGAGGTGGGTCGAGTTGAACAGCACGGAACTTGCGCACGGAGCCATCAGCGATGGGGGAGTCAACAGAATTGCCATTGGTCAAAGGCACAGAAGCAAGACCATCGAATGGTCCTGCCTCCGCTTCGCCAATCTGGTTTCCCTGTTCACGGAGCACCTCCTCTGCCTTTTGGTATATGGGTGTGCCTTGGAGAGAGGGGATTTGGAAGAGCAGGTGGCAGAAACCAGCCCACTCGGGAAGACGGTTAATCAACTGTTCAATCGCTTCCACGCCGAACTTGTACATCGGGTCATGAGGCTCATGCTCGCGGACAGCCTCGAGGATCATACCGAGACCGACCTTCAGCGTGATGCCATCAACAAGACGGAAGTTGATTATGCCACCGAACATGACCGCAGTCTTCGTGAGAGCCTCGAGCGGGTATTCATGGTAGCAATGGTATTCGTCAACCAGGCCGTGCACCATGCAGGCGAACAGATCTTGTTCTGTGGGGTCGCGCGAAGACTTGTATTTGCGCATCAACTCCAGCATCTCACGCAGCGAGAGTTCCTCGTGGTACATTTTACCAAAGAGCTCTTGCATTTGCTTGTCAATTGACTCAGGCAACGTGTTGCCGTTCTCGCCATTGGCGTCGATTACATCATCGAATCCTTCGCCGTAGTTGATCAGACGAGGATACGTCTGGATGCAAATGCGCTGGACAGGGGTGAGATTTTCGCGGTCCCCGACGTATTCCTCCAATACAGACAAAAGCGTATAAACAGTTTTGACTGCGAGGCTGACCATTTGATGAGCAGACTGCTCCTTCCGTTGGACGTGCAATTCGTCCTCGGCCTTGATTCGCAGGAACTTAGAGAGCAGACCACCCATATCAATAGCGCCTTTCTGTGCGGCATTCCGAACCCACTGCTCAAGATCAAAGGGACTCTTGCGGTGGGAGTAGCAGGCGAGATCGAGGGCAAGACCGTTAGTGAACCCAAGGAGATAATCGAGCCATCCGTATGCTGCAGCGTGCTCATAGATCACAGCGGTGGAGGTGGGATCCTGAGTGAATGTGGTGAAAAGTTGTTCCGATACCCACTGTCGTTCTTGTCTCCAAGCACCTTGGAGAGCGAGCTGGTACCCATCCTCTTGCTTCGAGATGAAGACAATGAATGTGCGCAAGACAAAGCTCTGCTGGACACTGGTCCACGGCTGCGGAATAGCCAGAGCAGAAACGAGGAAAACTGGCAAATCAAACTGAACGACCGCCTTTATAAGGAGCTGGCTTTCTGTCGCAGCCCACGAAGCCTGGGAGAACAAGGCAAGGTCGAAAATTGCCTTCATAGCGTCCATGGACCGAAGAGGTGACTTTGCCGCACGCTCGCCTTGCAGTTTGACGATTTCAGGGGCATCTTCAAAGAAGTCAGTGGGGAAAGTTGCGCGAAGATTAGGGATGTGCGATGGGTCGATCCGAGAGGCCACAAAAGCTGTTAGGAATGACATCTGCGTGTCACGATGCTCCCAGTCTCCACCCCAAAGCTTTTGAACATCCAAAGAGGAGTCGTCGACCGACATGGCGGAAAGAACATTGTACAACTTGGTGAATTGTTTCGGATCCACTCTGAGGCCCTCACGATCGAAGTGGCGGAACACGAGGGGCCAGTTTATTGGCTTGTCGTTATATGCACTTAAGAATGTCTCTAGTGAGAATTGTTCCCAATATTGCGACAAGATCATGAAGAGAAGGGCGCTGGCTAGATGTTCTTCGCTCCAATTCCTCTGGTCTGAATTTAGCAATTCACTTATTGTCTCGGTATTCGCAGTGGCACGAGCTCCCTTGGCATGAAGCTGTCGTACAAGGACATATTGAGGGTTCACAAAATTGAACATCTGTAAAGCAGAGGAAACTTCGAATGGCATATCCAAGCCAAGTTTTTGGAATCGCAGATTGGCTGCGTAAACCAGCTTCGCCTTGACATCGTCGGTAAAATTGCGGGGAGGGTATAAGATAAAACGTTCAATCGTCATGCCAAGGAAGGAGTTGCTGTAATCCTTAGTCACTTCGGTAGGACTCGCCAAGCTCTGTAAGAAAGGGGCAATGGAATTCGAGAGGATGGCATCGGCTAATGAGGATGGTTAGATCGACCCAGAGGCGTAGATAGGAGCAAACATACCTTTAGCACGAAGATCTGACTTGCTAGTCAGTTTGAAGGCCAATGCAAGGGAAACCTTGACAACTGGATCGAGTCGGAAATGATCTAGGAAAGTGGAAAGGTCGAAGTCGCGGAAGATATCTCCTTCGGAAGTATCTACTGTCTCAGCGATTTTCTGAGACTGCTCCATGTCCGAGGACACTTTCTGCATCTCCTGGACAAGGAGAGGGTAGTTGCCCGCATTTTCAACGGATTTGTTAACACCGGGGAAGATTTGTGGCGCATTTCCTGTTAGGAGGCGGCGAAAGTATTTGGAAAAGACCTCCATTCCGTTCGAAGTCACAAGCTGCGGTTATTAGAATCGACTGGATTGGGATATACGGAAGGACCACCAACCTTGTGTATCTGGGCAGCCTTTGTCTCCCACTTCTCTTTTCCTTCCTTCTCCGTAATAGAATCCAGTAACAAGAACACCTGGGCAATAGATATTTTGGTGAGCGACGATTGGCTCGAGTGGGCGTTTGTGGAACCCGGCTTGTCAGAAGCAAAACCTGTGGGAGAATTCACGGTTGTTCCGGACGAGAGCGGCGAAAAGACGCCTCGGGAAGATCCCGGCCCACCACCTCCTCCCCCAGTTCCTCCTCCACCCGGGGCGGAGCCTGTAGCAGAGGCCAAATGGGACCCTATAGAAGGGGTGTGAGCTCGGAATTTAGGGGACGAAAGGGTTGTTGCGTGCTGTTGCGAGCCAGATTGCAATGATGTGAAGGGCGAAGACGTGTGTTTGGGACTTCCACCGGAGAGACCCCTAGCAGAGCTCAGCACGGCAGAGAAAGAAGATGGTGTCGAAACCCCAAGGCCTGCGTCCAAGCCCCGGGAAGCCGTGGGGGGAGCGGCGGAGGATATGTTGGTCGCGAGTGGAGTCAACCCACGACGTGCGCCGGACTGCGACACGGACCGACCCCAGGCACCAATATCGGTCCTGGTCGAAGAAGATTTATCGGTGCCAGAAGCAATCGACGATTGGGCGGAAGGGTGAGGGGGAGGGAAGGTCATCTAGGAGACGCGATCATTTGATCTGGAGGTCCAAAGACAGATTTTTAAGTCACAGGCGCAATAAACGGGGGGAAATCGATAAAGCAGATCAATAAAATAGACGCGAGATCGTGCGATATCGAGAGAGGGAGGGTGTCGGGAAAGTAGGATAACACTGTGGGAGAGGAATGGATGGGGGAACGATGAGATGGAGAGGTTGCGAGAGGAATGGGGTGCAAGGTGCGAGTTGTCGGAAGTGTGCCTGCCTCAGGTGTCGAGTGGGAGCTCCCAATCAGGCACCAAAGTGCGATACAAGGTACGCCTTGCGGTCGTTCGAGTGTGGAAGAATTGCTGAAGCTATAACCTGTTTAAGACTTGATGAATGTGTGGTTTTTGCTCCCCTTGCTGTTCATTGCCCATCCTTCTCCCACCTACATGCTGGTGTTTGGAGATGGTCACGTGCAATGTCCCCAGCACGTGATGTATGGCTGAGTCATCTACTCTGGGGTCCACCTGCCGCTGCACGGGTCCGTGAATGTACCCTAATGAAGCAAGACCTAGAGCAGGTGCTATGGAGAGTAATCTGAACACAGCCCGAGGATATTCGAGTATGTATGTATTTACAATGTAGGAGCATGTAATATGTCTTCAAAGTGAGCAAGGGGTTTTCAATGATTTATGCTATGTCATCCTACACAGCAAGCTAATTTGTCTATCCTGCAATATGATGGATATGATGATAGAACTGCTTCGTCGTTAATGCTAAGATAGGTAAAATTCAACCTAGCATCTTACGAATATAGTAAATGAGAACGATATATGATCAAGCATATCGCAGAACCTGAACCGTACCAATCCAATGAACGCCTGAGTTAAAATCCAGTAAGAAGAGCCGATCAACAGATAGAGCAAATATAACCCAGAAAAATATGAAAGAATAACCCGCAAAGTGATCAGAGTCATGTCATGCCGCAATGACAGTCAGCAAAAATGGCGGGGGCATAGGAACGGATGATGCAAGAAACGAAGCATCCCACAAGGCCAGTAGCTTGTGGGGACGGAAGGAAGATAAAATCACACAGTCAAGAAGGAATACGATCATGTGCACATGAGTTTGAGACCAGTTCGCTGGCCAATCCAACGCCAACGCCTAGGTCCACCGCAGAAGAGACCACAATGAATAAATGATATTGTTTCAGGTTGAGTCCGGCTAGTCAGTCAGAGACACACAGTAGCACGGGCTAGCGTAAGATGCCTGGGCAGTGTATGTCTGGGCAGTGCCGCCTTTATAATTGGTGTAGGTAGTAGTCGGCGTGGGCTCGTTCTCTTTGATGTTGATGATGCTGCCTGAAAGAAGCGCCAAACCCCCGTCATTGCGAACTTGCATTTGCTGACAGTAGGGAGATTCTCGTGATGGGTCGTCTCGGCGCTCCTCCATCTTAATCCTGCGTGGATAAGCGTAGGTGGCGGAGGAGTCGCGTTTAGCGTCAGCAGTGGAGCCAGCTGTGCTTGCTGCCATGTTGCTGTTGATAGAAGCAGTGGTGCTCAAGGAACTCGACGTCGACTGGTTGACGTACAAGAAAAACTCCATCATCGTGTTATTCCACCAACAAAACCACGGCTTGTCGCCAATTTCTGCGGTCTGCTTCAAATTCTTGTAGGCATTTGCATTTGCCCATCCGTCTTCCACGAATGTGCGCTTAGAAATGGAGTTAGAGAATGTATCGTCCGGAACAATGACCAACTTGTCGAAGGGAGCAAGGAAGAACAGAGCAGGACCCATGCCAATATCAGTGGTATCAATGGCCATACTCAATGCTTGTGTAGGCGAAGAAGACCAATACGGCGCCTGGGCACCATATGTAAAGGTCGGGGTCGGAACACCGTCGTCGAAAACGATGGAATGGTGACCATTGGATTCGCCGATAAAAATATCGATTGTGCTCGGTGATTGCATGCATTTCCAGGCTTTGCCGTAATTCGATTCGTCCACGCAAAGCCCAGATCCATTCTGGTAACCGGAAGGTACCGTGTAGTAGCCCGTAGGGACTCCCTTGAGACCTGTGGGGGTGGATATCATTGATGCATCCATCTGAGGGGTTGCGGTGACCGTTATGATTGGTAAAGGGCTGGATTGTTGGGCCTCCTGGTGTTCTTGCTTTGCAGCTTCTGCGGCTTTCTTGGTTCCCAGAACACCACCAATGACGCCTCCAATACATCCTCCAATGAGCATAACAGTTGCAATGAGGACCAACGTCCATACTGGCAGGCCACAGCATGCGGTCTGTTTCCCCTTGCGTTTAAGCTTCTCTTCGAAGGCCATGATGCCTGTGGTCGCAGCGACTCTTTCCTCCCCGTGCCCATTATCGTTCCCATCACCAGAATGTTCAAGCACCAAAGCCCTTGATGAGGTTTCTGAAATCGGCGCCGCTCTTGAACTTTCATTGTTGAGACGGCGTTCCTCCGGCGGAGGATCGAGATCGACTACCGTCTCAGGCCCTGGGGGCTTCGGTATAACACCAGTTGGATAGCGTGAATACGGTGGTAGCGGCTCTGCGTGACCATCCGGTCCAATGATATCACCCACATCATCAGCCTGGCGACCAGCGGGTGGTTGATATGGTGGGTTATGGCCTGGAAATCCGACTGGGATGATATCGTCATCCATTCCTTCTTCGACCACATTTTGCGAGTACATCGCGTAGGGGTGCTGCGGACCGGTTGACCCTTCAAGTGGGCGTTCAATTGGGCGGATCGTCGAAGTACTACCTACACTGGGCGACCGGCTAACCCCAACTTGTGGATACATACCATATGGATGGCTGGGTCCGGTGGCTCCGGTGTAGGGGCTCAGAGCGCGGGGAATCGAGAAACGAGAAGAAACGCTCTGATTGCGCTGGATCATAGAAGGCGTCGAGTTGAGAGAGGAGGTTGAGTTACGGTTGTTGGCGAAAGCATACCCCTTTTGAGGCAGACTTGACCGATGAGGTTCATCGAAGGACACCCGAGCGTCATCAGCGAACGGGTTATCGTTCTCGGTCGGGCCCGTGCTAACAGCCCTTGGCTGGGTGTTTTCCCGAAGAGTAGAGGAGGATGCAATGGAAGAGGGACTGTGGGGGCGTTCGATGCGATCGGAGTCAATGGTTTCTAATGAGTATTCGTCGGCGAAGACATTTGGATTGGAGGTGGAGGTGCGACCGAAGGAGCGGCGAGGTGTCGAATCGCTGGAGAGTTGTGGCGTTTGAGAGGATTGTGAAATAGAGCGAGAATGCTCCGATGAAATATGACCAGACATTTCCCTATCGGTCTGGCAGCCCTGTCGGGCCACCTCGTTGTTTGATCAATCCGTTTCGCTACCCGGGCGAGGATGGGCGAAGAATGGGCGGCAGCAAGCAGATATAGCAGACTCTGTCGAGATGTTGAGGAGGAGGAGGAGGATGTTGATAGATGATCGAGATAGAATGTAGGATGAGAAACTTCAAATTGGGGAACCCTGGAAGGGAAGGGAGGAGTTTGAGACTTTAGTGTGACCAGTTTACTGAGGGGAGCCGGGGGAGAGTCAACTCTCGGGCCAACTGAAATTCTTGGCTTTTTGATTTTGCACCGTCTTGGGGGCTTTTTTCCATGGACTCTTTCTTTTTCTTTTCTTTCTTCTCAAACATTCTCTTGTATCCTGGTATCACATACCCTACGATCTACTCCGTGCCTGGGACTCCTCTGTTTGCGCTACTACGACTAGGGTGACCAACTAGCGAGCACTTCCCGTCTACGGTGGGCCTGAATGGGCTTCGCCACCCTGCATGCTAGTATAGTGTGCTATTTTGATATTCTCGAGTATCTGCCAGTACACAGAATACAGAATACAGGGTTCCAGGTCCCTGTTCTAGACCAAAGCTCTAAGGTTGTTTGCTTCTGCATGCGTTGGATTTGAAACGTTTTCTTTCTCGCCACGCAACCACGTGAGAAACCCCTTTGTGTGTTTGGGTCTGGAATGGAATCCACTGAACTGGAGAACTGCACCTTCAGGGCCTCCAGTCTGGGTTCGCGAAAAATTCCAGAATACGGAAGGTTTAAAACATCAGGGCTGAGCGGATATCTCGGACTTGCAAACTATAATCGTAAACCGGGAAATGCACAATTGCTCATCATCATGACTTTGATATGAGCTGATGGTCCTAGGACGTCTCCTATGGACAGATGTTGTAGCGAAAACAAGGGTCTCTTTGAATGTAACGATGTTGGCGTAGGTAAATACCTGTGTTCGATCTCGGATAATTTCGATTGGAGTATCTTGGCTCTACCTAGGACTTGCAGATTATCAAACACCGCATCCATGGAAGACTCCCACCCAGAAAGGTTACGATATTCGCTCTCAACAGAGATGTCCCGAGCAATGACCGTATGGATCAACGGTTTCAGGGCCGTTCAGGGCTTCTTCGGTCCAGCCCCTCTGGAACGAGATTGCGTGCGTAACGGGATCCATCCAGGGCCAACCCCATCTGACTCCATCTGACTCCATCTGATACTGAGATCGGGTTTTATTTCCGTCTGGTCCCTATGTATGTAAGAACATCCCAGAGAACATGAGATGGTTCCTTGGACTGATCATAAGCCTCCAGGACTTGATCTAGATCTATAATATCGTACAATTCGGTATGCAGGTCACATGTCATGTGGGACATCAAAGAACTCCCCATGTTCTCCTTCTGTATCAGCAGATACCAGAAATTTACTTCATAAATTGACATATGTTGATTCGATACTGTGTAGCTAATGGAATGATCATTGATAGCCTACGTAGATACTATACAAACCTTCATCAACCATATTTCCCTGCCAGAATTGCATAACATATCGCGAGGAGGCAAAGTACAAATCAGCTAGATTCCAATGAAACAAACCTGATTCAAATGCTTAAGGATGTAAAAACATGCAATGGGTGATTGATCGGTCTACAAGGTTTTCGGCCCCATAGGGTCAATATGCTATCGGCTAATAGCCGACGCATCTTATCAGACCGATACATCAACATGACTCAGGAAATCCGTCGCTACATCCCATGACATATTCAGCTTGACACAAGCCGAACAGCGTAGGACCTCTCGGAGATATATATCTACACATGTTCTTCGTCCTAGGAGTATGTGAATCCTGTGACTTGGTGTACATTGAGAACTCAATATCTCGATTCAGTATATATCCTCAGTCATTATCGTATTACTAGCATTATAGTTAACTAACTAGATACTTCAATTGACATAAGAATCATGATTCTTAACTAACTAGAGCACCCGGGTGTTAACTAGTTAGTGATAGTTTTGGCGCACTGTGGGTTCGCCAAGCCACAGACCGGTTATGGGCTTGGCCGTCTCCAGGTGGCACAGACCTCATCTATTCCCTCCTTCGGTCAGCCAACATTTTCATTCAATCTTTTCCTTATTGTTTTTGAACGGCGAATTTCTTCGGAGACTCCCCATTGCTACAAGCGTATCACAAATTCTCTGTATCCGCGAACCATCGGTCTGTTCCGGGCAGTCTGCCATGTTTGGTCCTCCCATCATTTGTCCACCAGTCCAAAAGCATTCCGCGAAGAATTCTTCCAAAATACATCACGATGATGGATGTAAGTGAAGCCTATCAAGGGCTTTAATTACAAACCCTGAATATAGTTAGATTCAACGAGGTCAACCGTTTAGAGGAACGATATGTCTAGTTTCGACCAACAGAGCTCCAACGGATCGCCGGCGAAGTATTACAACAGGGCTATTGCCCCAATGTCAATAAGCACGCTGGACAGACTATATATCAGTCCCCGAAGAAACTCCACAGGGCTTACAGCCTCGAAGTTGTGGATTTTTGTCACTGCCATCATTGCCGCAAATCATCCTCTATGCATCGCAGCACAACTCGCGGTCAGTACCGTATCTCTAATAGTGAACGTGAAAGCACCTCTCTACGTAATTATATTCTTCTCCATCTTAGGCGTAGTATTTATATATCGAGCACACCGCATCTACTTTCGTGAGCTTCAACTATTCTAGTCTTCCAGTCGACGAAGCACATCGCGTTGAGCTTCTCCAGCTTGATCTACGGAGCCTGCTACGCCTTCGCGTCTCAGTTCCTTTCCTCGCTCTCGCTATGATTTTTTGTCCGGCTTCTCCTATCTCGTTCTCGAATACTTAGACGCAGACAACATTATCTGCGGGAGTCTCTAGGAGCCGATACATTTCTTGCCTCGATCGCGGAAGCACGTATATTAGCCAATGGGGTTTCCTAAAGAGGGCTTACTCACACAAATCAGGGGGATGTATATCTTTGATTTCAAGGTCCGGGAGTCTATATTAAGAAAAATATATCTTTCATTTCCTATCTAATCCTCCTTACTCTTCTTCTAATCCCGGTACTTAGCGATAATAAAATATATCTGTGCAGCGTATTGTGCTATCACCCATCTATAGGCAACTGATTAGCGATGTTTTTTAAGCATTGGTATAGTGATCATCATCAAACCTACCTTCTAAGTCGATTATTTGAACTCTTGGTTCCTTTGACCCTTGAATACCGAGAGTTGTAGTAATCCATGGTACTATTTCAAGTCCCTTTTGCATCAATACTTCTTTTACCGAATTCGATTACAGAGCCCTACCTTCAAGTAGGACCTGCATTTCACCATCGGGATCTACCAGACCACCGTCGTGCTTAACGGAGCCGTAACTGCGGCCAATACTCTGGGAGACTCCACATGTGTTCCATATTTCGCGGGACGTCGCAATGATTCGCGATCTCACTCTGGCCATCCGTCTGCGGGTGGTAGACAGTTGACAATTTTCGTTTGATTCCTAGGATGCGACAGAATTCCGTCCAGAATTCGGAGATAAACTGACCGCCTCAATCTGAGACGATAGTCTCGGGGATTCCAGTGATTCGTATGACATTGTCCATGAATAAACGGGCCATTTGCTTCGCATTGGTATCCTTATGGCATGGGATAGATACGGGTCTCTTGCTTAACCGGTGAACAACGACGAATACCGCGTCGGCTGCCATAGTAGTGTGATTGAAATTTGGGAGATACCAGAGAGATATGCCGTAGTGATGAGGGTGACTCGTACACCAGGCTTAAACATACCTTAAGCTTCACGATGCATAGACCCTTTTTCATATTCCCATAATTCAAAAGCAAATGAAATTTGAGAGTCCGTGGCAAAAGATAAAGAGGAGAAGGGGTGCCGAAGTTTTCTTGGACAGCTTAGAAGCCCTCTTCATTTCCATTAAAAACTGGTCGATCGTTCTCGTTGGGCTAACTACAGCTGCAGGCGAAAGTCCCTCGCTGTCCAGGAGTTGGCTTAGGCATACTTTTCGTTCCTCATAGTTGTCGACAGGGTTGGTGACGCTGGCCAAGCTACAGACAATAAAACATGTCGAATGATATACTGTAACTTAAGCAGTATTTTTGATGTAGATGAGAGGGAAAAGAAGAGCAATCAGAGAGCAGAATCAACAAAGTCGGTATTTATAGATGGGACAGGTACTATCTATACTAGTAGCAATAGGTTATCTAGGCACTCGAGGTAGTGTGAGTCTGGAAGGTGCTAAGATGTAACTCGTGAGTGGGCAAGAAGTGAGAAAGAAGGGATTGAAATCATATAGGTATTAAGAATAGTTTTCTTATGTTTTAGGTCTCATGCTACTTTGTTAGCATCATGGCGATGTGACACAGATATCACCATCCTAGGATTTTACCTTACTGTTGCCGACTCAAGGCTTACTTGGCAACTTAGTAATCGAGTGTTGTCGATGGCGTGAATTGATCGAATGCGATGGAAGATAGCAAAAGGAGAGTGCAATAAAGTTGATCGGTATTAGTGGCCTCTAACTAGAAAGAGTACGTACCGGATCCTAAATGAAATAGAAAGGGTAGTGTGGCCTCTAACTAGAAAGAGTACGTACCGGATCCTAAATGAAATAGAAAGGGTAGTGTGGCCAGTCTACTCAAAAGAGAAAGAGTGATGAGTTGAATGAGGAGCACCCTTAGAATTTATTACTCAGGTTGCGAATACATAAAATGAATTCCATGTTTCCCATCCATATCATCCCTTCAACTCCGATGTACTCTGTACATATCTCTGGCTTTGAGCAACATTTTTCAGTACCATAATAATTTAACTTTCAATTTTCCTAAATTTGATATATAGGGGTAGAGTCCCTTATCAACAACCAATTAGTGAGAATGGAAATTAAGCAATAACGCGGTTGTTGAAATATGAGATTGTAGTTATGGATGTGATGGGCCATGGCAGTGAGATAGTTATGTTATCGATAAGTACTAAATTAAGGGTATTCACCGCCTACCCCTTGAGTAATAGTACTACCGTGCACGTGCTGAAGTATATAGTGCCCGCTGATTGGGTAAAGCCCCACCGCCTACTATAGCGCAACTAAGGTATCCGGCGATTATGAGGTTTACTTTCCTAGCTCTTCCAGCACTACTGTCACTCATGATTTTTATCAAATCTCTTCATCCTAATTGTATTTGAGGCTGGCTACTTCCTTTGCAGTTACACTTGATTCTCATCATGCCGGACGAGTCGAAGGGAAAGAGCTTCCCCGACGTCTCTGCGAAACTCTCCGCGCTTCCAAAGAAATCACTTTTTGAGCGTCAAAAAGCCGAAGCAGAGGCCAAACGCGCCCGGGAAAAAGCAGAGACAGCTGCTGTCTATGAAGAATTTGTCAAATCTTTCGAAGACGAGGATTCAGTTGCACCACAGTCATGGGATGGAGGATCCAATACATTTAGAGGCAGGGGTGGTGGTCCTCCCAGGCGTCATTTCGCAACTTCCTCTTCACGCGGCAGTGGTCATGGATCTCTTGGGCCCCCGCCGCCGTCACTTTCACACAAACGTTCCCACGAAACTTTCCCCCCCTCCCGTCGTGACCATCTCAAATTTGAAAACGTACTTACCCCATCTGAAACCGACAGAGCACTTGACGAGGAGGAGAGGGCAGCTCCAAAACCCACGCTATACCTCGCATCGCTTCCCCCCGGGACATCTCTGTCTGTGATTAAGGCATTGATCCCCTCGACCCTGACCGTGGACAATGTCAAGATCATCACCCCACCCGGACAATTGCCAACCCACCGCGAGTCCTCTTCTGCACTCGTTACCCTCTCAAGCGACTCGGCTGCTTCTACCATCGACGCAGCTGTAAGCACGCTGCAGAACAAATACCTTGGCTGGGGGTACTACCTGACCCTCTGTCGACATCTTTCCTCCATTGCAATCAATTCAAACATGCCTTTGCCCTCCGGCCTCTCGTCGACTACTACTTCTCTTCCGTTTGGCGCCAAGCCTATTCCGCCGAGTCTGGGCACAAGCTTGAGTCGAGCTCCACCACCAGGGCCACATCGCGGAGGGTTCGCACCCCCAAGCTCGTATGGACCAAGCGTTGGTAGAAATGGCCCAACCACTCAGGTGCAGGTGGAGCTACCGACAGATATAAGACAGTTAAGACAGATACACATGACTATTGAAAAACTCGTGAAACAAGGTCCTGGATTTGAGGCATTGTTGATGAGTCGGCCAGAAGTTCAGATGGACGAAAAGTGGGCTTGGCTGTTCGATCCGAGGTCGCCTGGTGGTGTATACTACCGGTGGAAATTGTGGCAAATAATCACAGACCCTAAAAAGAAGAATATTGATAAGCCGGCAATGATCTTCGAAGGTGGTCCGCTCTGGTTACCCCCAAAACAGCATCTCAAATTTGAGAACGTCACTCGACTGGACCAATTTGTGTCACACCCTGACTACGACTCCTCTGACGAAGAACACTCGGATGGAGAAAATGAAAGACGGAATCTTGGTGGAGCACCTCAGGACGGAAGCAACACACGCAGCGATGAACCTAACTTCTTGAACCCATTGAAGATGGCCAAGCTTACTCATCTTCTTGCACGACTTCCGACGACCCATTCGAAGCTCCGACGAGGAGATGTTGCGCGAGTCACGGCATTCGCCATCGACCACGCGGCAGTGGGTGCGCCCGAGGTTGTCGACATGGCTATTCGAAACGTTTTCCGCCCACTAGCTTACACCGGCGCCAACCCAAATAGGGAAATGGAAAAAAGTGCCGCTAGACTAGCGACCACAGATAAGGACAATGCAACTCCATCCGATGAACAATTGGATATGTCTTCTGCGAAGCTGGTCGGTCTCTATATCATCTCTGATATTCTCTCGTCGTCGGCAACTAGTGGCGTTCGCCATGCATGGCGATACCGCCAGCTGTTTGAAAACGCTCTCCGCTCACGCAAGGTGTTTGAACACCTTGGACGACTTGATAAGGACCTGAAATGGGGACGACTGAAAGCAGAGAAGTGGAAGCGCAGCGTTGGCGCCCTTTTACATCTGTGGGAAGGGTGGTGTTGTTTTACGCAATTGAACCAGGAGCATTTCACCCAAGTGTTTGAAAAGCCACCGCTTACGGAAGCAGAATTACAAAAGCAGAAGGAGACAGAGAAGACCAATGCAGATCAAGCTGCTGTTGCATTTGCCAAGAGCAAGAGTCGATGGAAGACAGTTGATGATGAGCGAGGTGGGAAGTTTGACCCTACTCGCCCTGCGAACGAGAACAAGCTATCTCTATCTGCCCACGCAGTGGACGAATCGGTGCATGGAAAGGACGGAACTGCTATGGAAATCTGTGAGCTGAAGAATGTTGATGGGGAGTTCATGCTTAAGGCGCCACTATCGGGCGATCAAGATACCCAAACCGAGATTCCCCAGACACTATCTCAGAACTCACCTCAGCACCCAACCCAACCTGATAAATCCGAACAATCAGCTGGGCAGCAGGAGCCAGAAACACGGCGACGGAAGCCACGGCCCAAAGCTGAGGACATGTTCGCCTCGGATTCGGAGTAAGGTTGGGCATTGTAATTATACCGATTAGCATCGAACGATACCAAGATACTTGTAATGAATACAAATGAACATAAATGAACAATGAATGAGTACTTGAAATGTTTTCTCTCTATAGACTTGTGTAGATAGAGACAGTTATACTGAAGACCTGTCAGTTGGAGGCTCTTCAGTACAACGTATCAGGCAGCCAGGCATCATCGGCAGAACATTTCCTGCCCCACAACCCCTCATCAACAAATACCTTTCTCCTTTCGCGCTCAACTTCCTGTAACCTTTAAATACAATCGCATCGGCTTTTTTCTCTTGTATTCCAAATTCACAAGTTCTTCATAATGGCTGGTATGTCTTCCTCTCCACTTGGTTCCTATATGCCCCTCCTGAAGGGGATGGAGGGGTCTGGTTGGATCCAGACAGCAGTGTGTGACTAGTTGCGCAATGCGATGGAAAAGACGAAAGAAACACTGCAAACATACATATGAGACACTGGCTAACAAATTGGGCAATTTATACAGACTTCAACGCTATTGCCCGTACGTTATACCCACACTTTCCTGGTTCATCCACAAGGATTTAGCAATGCGCCTGTTCCCCGGAGCCTGTCCTCCTAGGTGGAAATATGCCTGAAGGGATGGGTGTCATATTGTGTACAAATAACCATGTTCTAACCTCTGATCGACCTGTACAGAGCAGTTTGTGCAGTTCTACTACCAGACCTTTGACGGAAACCGCGCTGGCCTGGCTGGTCTCTACGTAAGCCCCGCTCTCGAGATATTCTTCCAAGTGTGTTGATGGACTAATAGCAATTATCAATTAATAGCGTGACCAGTCTATGCTTACCTTCGAGACCAGCTCGGTCCAGGGTGTTACTGCCATCACCGAGAAGCTTAGCGTTCGTCAATCCCAAAGGAATAGCAGAAGAATATTTCAATACTGACTGACTTTTGTGACTCTAGACTCTGCCCTTCCAGAAGGTTCAGCACCAGATTGCTACCTTCGATGCCCAGCCCTCCAGCGGAGATGGCATTGTTGTGTTGGTTACCGGTGCCCTCCTGGTATGTTGAATGCCTATGACTTCTTCTATTTTCTTGGCTAATCAATTTCTCTACCAACAGGTCGATGAGGAGCAGAAGCCCATGAACTACACCCAGTGCTTCAAGCTGCAGCCCGATGGTGCCGGAAGCTACTTCGTGCTCAACGATGTCTTCCGTCTGATCTACAGCGCCCAGTAAATTATGGGCCCCGAAACAAATACCACGACGCGACGACAGGGTGATGTGCTTTCTTGTGAAGAGGATATGCCTTGACGGTGGCCGGGTTAAGACATCTGTCGTTTTGTCGCAAGTGACTCCCCTCAACTTGCGATATGCCCATTGAAGGATTCATGAAGAATTTATTTTTTTGGACCATCGATCATTCTAGAACTGTATAGCATTTCATTTCTATCAAGCTAAGATATAGCACGGTATAAAAGCAACACATAGCACATTTGTTATACGGACATCACTGGCTCTGAAGCAACGGCGTCTCCTCAGATGGTCGCTCCTCATGCACAGGTTCTTGCTGAGCGCTCTCATCAGCAGGAGCCGACTCATCGGGCTCCCCGGTTTGATCAACGTGCCCAGCTTTCCCCTTGTTGTTGGATCCAAAGTACTCAAAATAGATTGCCATCGTCAACAAGGTACCCTGCAAGCAAGCCGTGACAACAAGCACGCCCCAGATACTCCAGCCACTCCAACCCTTACGGGCAGCCAAACTAGCAGCCCAGACAAGACTTCCGGGCGTCTGGATGCACATCATGGGGATACTCAAGCTCCCCACGCAACGCAGCCGGAAGGTAGTGTATATCTGCGGGAAGTACTGGATCGACGCGAGGATCGCAGCCAGGATACCGAGGAAGTTAGCCCAGGTCGCAACAGCGGCCGGGTAGCGTAGCTCAACCGCTAGGGAAATTATAATTGTAACGAGCGCGTGCAGTAGACATATCCCCGTTACGATGAGCGCGGTGCGGTACGTCGGTCCGCTGGAGGTGGAAGACACACTGCCCACCGGGTCTGTGGGGGATGTAGCGCGCGGGAAGTAGATCACGAATAGCAAAAGACTATGTAGATATGGTCAGACAAGCTCGCGTGGGTATGGTATGGTATGGTATGGGTGTGGGTGTTCAATCGGGAATTCGGAATCAGATATAAATCAGCGCTGCGTTCGACTCACATAGAAAAGAAAGCAAGCCATTGCATGGCCATCTGGAATACACCCAGTAGCCCTGCGAAGCAAGCGAATCCGCTGATATCCCGGCAGCAGGCGACATCTTGTGCGGTGGATGGGAATACCAGGATATTGGCGAAAGCTGAGGTCCCTGATGTTACACCTAGGAGGATAAAGTATGGTGAGATACCGAAGGAGCTTCGCCGGGCGATGATACGGATGTGTTGGGGGAGGTATGAGAGGAGGATCCCGAGGATAATCTGGCTATGGTACGTCAGTGACTGGGGACTGATTTTAATTCTAGGGGCACGTACATAGATAGAGCAGTTTGGAAGATGCCTGGCGAGGCCAGCTCGCGGCAGTAGGGTGTTAATGAGTCCATTGTTGTGTCTTTATAAAAGGATGAAGTTCAGATGGAGGTCGGTTGTCGGGAGCTTGTGACGACAGCGCTGATTACCACAATTGATTGCACCAGTTCGTCACATCGGATATTCTGCTCTCGACTTCACCAAGATAAGTGGAATTGCTATTTTCAAAGACAGAAAAGGAATTCCTAAGATATGTATCATAAACTTGAGGACCTCGTTGGGCACTCCTCTCTGTCATGTTGCCTTGTTGTCTTGACGCCTTGGTGCCTTGGTGCCTTAAATAGGTGGTGTTAGTCTTTTTACTATCCCTAGTTGGGATTAGTGTCAAATGTCTACAACCTTATGTACATCTGGGGAATATAACATGGATTCATTACCACCAGAATTGATTTCCCGAGTGTTGGACTACATCATTCTTGTCGGATATTCACGATCTCCCGACATTCCCCTGACTTCATATGCCACCTTGAATCGTTGCTAGCTGCTACTTATCGATCACCTATTTGTCTGATCCGGGGTACGCATCTTTAGTCAGCACCTTTAGCTGATTATGTAACCCACAGTTGAGCATCTGCCCATTTAGACAATTACACTCATACCTTTTGTCAGTATCTTATTAGTTCACAGTCCTATCGCTATTGTCTAACTAGTTATATGTGTACTCATTTCTGTCATATGTCACTACCGTACGGGAATGGCAAAACAATAACTATGGCACGCTGACCGTATTCTGTAATTCACCGTCATCAGATACTACAATGGATGTTTGTATAGAGCTGGAAATATAGATACAAAAGTAGCATGTATACATATCCACATTCTATACATTAAATAACAGAAACAAGCTAGGAATTGTTCCCGACCTGGAATAATGAATTGATGATTCATGCACTCTTAGCTCAATCCAAGGCAAATTCCCCAACTACGTCACTTCGCAATCATCCATGCTTGGCTCTTTCTTGCTTCTTTCTTTAAAATCTTGCTGTGTTTCTATTCTCTTCACTGAAATATTCATACTTCACTTGCCACCAAAATACCCCTATTTTGTCAAACATACTACAACATGAAGTTGAATTTGGCCACTGGCCTCATCTGCTTGCTCGCTTCCACTGAAGTAGTGGCAGCTTCTAGCTGGTGGAACAAGGCTCGTATGTTGTCTTGGGTACAACTATACCCTTCGCAAGCTAATATCATCAACAGTCTACAACAAATGGCATGAAACTGAGCTCGAGCGATGGCTCTCCGACCATAGTATGGAGCACTTCTCTGTCTAGCAGCTTCAATTACTCACAATTCACACAGATATTCCCTACCCCAGTCCTGCCGATCGCCGCGATCTGGAGAACCTCGTCAAGACCAACTGGGACAGCAGAGTGCAAACACCCCTTGGACAAGCTGTCGACAACGTCAATCATGAGCTACACCATGCCAGAGAATGGATTTTTGATAGGTAGGGTGCTTACCTTTCCTTGTTGTGAATGATAGCTAACCAGTATAGTTGGTCTGACTCTCAGTTGAAGGCATTCCTCGATCGCCACGGCATCCCTGCCCCCCAGCCCCGCAGACACGACCTTCTAGTCAAAACCGCGCGTGAGAACTATGAGAAGATCGCTACCAAGGTTGGCCAAACGGCTGCCTACCCCGGAGACTGGCTTTATGCGGAGTGGTCCGACTCGGATCTCAAGGAATGGCTCGACGAGCGTGGATGGCCGGTGCCTCAGCCTTCCGAGCGTGACAAGCTCATTGCCTCGGTTCGCCGCAACTCGCGCATTTTCAGCCTGCAGACCCAGAGCATTGCTGCATCTGCATCCGCTGAGGCTGAGGCTGTTAAGGAGACACTGAGTAATCAGCTTTTCAATGCCTGGTCCGACTCGAAGCTGAAGGAATTCCTTGACGAGCACAATGTCAAGGTGCCTCAGGGCTCGAAGCGCAATGAACTCATTGCTCTGGCTCGGAAGAACCGTCACTACCTTTCTGACCAGGTGTCGAGTGCCTCCTCCGCTGTAGAGGGTGCGTTTGGCGCTGCTACCACCAAGGCTGGGAACGAATATGCACAGGCTACCGATTATGCCAAGCTGAAGATCGACGATGCTTTCGAGACTGCGTTGAATGGCTGGTCTGACTCCCGCTTGAAGGCGTTCCTTGATGCTCGAAGCGTCCCTGTCCCTCAGAATGGTAAGCGTGATGAACTTATTGCCAAGGTCCGCGCCAATGCGCACAAGGCTGCTGGAGGATGGAACCAGTACAACTTTGATACTTGGGATAAAGAACACCTGGTGTAAGTACATACTTGTCTGCTGGTTATGATCTCACTGGCTTACCTTTCCTAGGAACTACTTGTCGTCCGTGAACCACAAGGCGATTAAGCAGGCCGATGCCTCACGCGAACAGCTTGTGAAGAGTGCCCAGGACTCCTACGCCAAGGCTTCCAAGGCTGGCGGCGAACAGTACGCCTCTGCGACTTCTTCCATCGCGCATGCAACAGACACAGCCAAGGATGCTACTTTCGACCAATGGTCGCACTCCGAGCTCAAGGAATACCTGGACGACTACGGTGTTCCGACATACCAGGGCTCGAGCATCAATGAACTTCGAGCTGCGGCCCGGCGCAACGCCCATTACTATAAGTACGGCACTGCGAGCCCGCAAGCTACGATCTACGCCAAGGTCATGAGTGTTTTGCAGTGGTTTGCCGATCAGTTAAAGATCGGCGCTGCTAGCGGCCGCGCCCAAGGCACCGAAGCTGCTGAAAAGGTCCAGAAGAAGGTTTCCGAGCACACGGAGAGATTGCGTGAAGAACTTTGAACTACCCTCCTTATATTTGATCTTTCTTGTTTTTGTTCCACAGTAATTTGGGATGCACGGTTGGTTTGATGTATTTTAAAGTTACGATGATTATGACATTTGGATTGTAACCTGTGCTTCGAGTTAGTTTTGCCTTTTGGGTTTACCTAGTGCCCAAATACGCCGTTCGTACATATGTAACCACCTTTCAGCATAAAAGAAACGATCTCGCCCGCCTTTTTAGACTGGGTCTTCCTATAGCCGCCGAGACCTCTACTTCACCTGTGTTATCTCGAAGATGACGCCCGGGGGGGGGGGGGGGGGTTGAAATGGTGCGCAGCCACACACCTATAAAAAAGAAAAACCAAAAAAAACAATTAAAGTAGTTAAGTATTTACGT